ACCAGTCTTTCAGTGATTTGTTATAATTATAGCTGGAAATTTTGAAGCTGGAAATTCATTAAACATCGCTGTAACGGCAGTCGTCGGTCATCATTCGCGGGCAACAGTGTACTGTTACCCTCTGACGTCATAGATTTTGCAATGTTGCCTGCTCAAAGATTTTGGCAGGAAACAGTTTTATTGTTAGATGTCATGTGACCTCGAAATAACCAATGAGAGCGCGCGCTGTTGGGAAAAATTTCCAGCTCTATAACAGTAAGAATCATGATTAGGGGTTTGTTATGCTTTTAAAATTAAATCATTTACTGCCAAAGAAAAAGAAACAACAATTTTTAAATCTCAAATTATTATTTTGTAACATAACAAGAAAAAATAGCTGTACCAAAGAAATATACATCTAGTGTTTAAATAGTCGTGGTTAATGTTATTGAAAGTTTATGAAACACCATGTACAGCATAATTCCCCTATCTAGAAACTATAACAGGAATTAGTACAAGCTAGGACAGCTCCTGTACAAGCTCTTAGCACAACCATTTCTGGGCGATAAGCGTTACAAGTACTTATGACTGGTGAATACCAGCGACCAATCATTACTAACGCTTGTCCAGCCAAACATGCTCTGAAATCACTGCATCTAAAGCTTGTACCTATTCCCCATAGAGTTTCTGAAGTGAGGAATAAACAGTCATAGGAAAGTGCTGATCTCTTAAAGGTCACATTTTTAAGGCAGGGGTGTAGCGAGGAGGGTCCTGGAGTGCTCTTCCGTCCCCCTCCCCCCCTCCCCCCCACTCCCCCACCCCACCCCGTGAGAGGTATCCTTACAATTTCTGTGAACGCTAAAAAATTAATAACCAAAGTCCACGCTGAAATCCTTAACTTCACTCTCTTCAAGTGACCGTACCTCGTCCATTTCCATCCTCGGAGACCCAGGGGCAGATAGTGGAGGCGAGGGAAAGTCTAAACGGGCGGGAAAATATGGCAGGAAGAAAAGTAAAGAACGGCGAGAGAAGCCCCTGGGGACAATGTCTTACCAGACCAGTTCCAAACGGTCGCCGCCGTTCTGACTTCTGACTGGTGCCAGAAAACTTTTGTGTATTTTTCTGCCCAATCAGAAGGCAGAACGGCGGCGACCGTTTGGAACTGGTCTGGTAAGACATTGTTCCCAGGGGCTCCTCTCGCTGTTCTTTACTTTTCTTCCTGCCATATTTTCCCGCCCGTTTAGACTTTCCCTCGCCTCCACTATCTGCCCCTGGGTCTCCGAGGATGGTCCATTTCATGTCCAAATATATTCCAAAAACCATCGTTTGAAAGATAACTGTTTTAAAAACAATTTCTTTGTATCAAAGATTTTTTGTCCGTAATTCTTGTATGGACCAAACTTTGGTTTATATAGACGGTCCCTCTCGTCGCGTGACTCATCTAAAGTGTGCAGCTATTTTGTAGGCTTGTCCCTTCCTCCCACGAAAAGATATCTCTTAGTAAATCGCAGCATGGTAGTCCACATGACAATCTGACTCCCCCCCACCCCCCCAGAAAGTCCCCCCACACCCCCCGTAGGGGTAAAGGTTTTACCTAAACGTCTCAATAAAAAAAGTTCCCTAAAACTGTAAAAAAAAATTTTTTTTTTTTAAAATTTTTTTGTCCGCTTATTGTGTTTTGAGCAAACTTTTGGTTTTTAAGGCGGTCCCCCCTCCGCCCGGTGCCAATTTAAATGGTGCGCTTTTTTTTAAGGTTTTCCCCTCCCCCCCCCAAAAAAAAATTCTTTGGAAAACCCAGGCAGGGAAGCCCCATTGAAAACTTGCCCCCCCCCCCCCCCCTTGAGAGATCCTAGCTACACCCCGTTAGGGTTAAGGATTTCAGCTAAAGTCTGCAATAATCAAAGTTCCGTAATACTTAATATTTGGGGTGGGGAGGTGGGGTTAGTCGGAGACAGGAAATCCATTCTATTAATGTCAATGTTTTAGTTTTTCAGTGTCGTAAATACACTGTACGCACTTATGAAGAGTAGTTCTCGTCAGTCGTCGTATTTCATCTTTAAAGAGTGGCTAAAATAACTGAAGGATTCTTTTACGCGCTCTCTGTAAAATAAGTTTTTTTGCAAGTATCATTGGGCTTCGCTCTTGTTAGGTTCTTGTACGATAAATAACTTAAGGAAAATGTATTCCAGGAGACTTCTTGCCATGCATATTTATATACTCATTTAAAAAGCATGTTTCGTTTTAAATTATAAGCATGAGTAAACGTATATTATACGAGTACTGTATAAGAAAAGAAAAACGTTTCACAATCCGACTGTAGTGGCTCTTTTTTCTTCAAGCAAAATGCCGGTCTATAGAGCGTTGTCACTCACTTGGTCCGAATTCGTTGGAACAAAAGAAAGCGTTTACACAGGAAAAGAGTTCAACTCCCACGGAATTGGTTTGGAACCCCAATATGGCATGCCCATTGTTTTGGCACACCAATATAGCCGCCATGACGTCATGTGAAAACGCTCTATGGACCTTGCACTCATACACGGGCTCACGTCGTTATCAATTTCGTTCCCAGGGTCACTCCTCGCTGCTAGTTACGAGGTTGTGCCTTTGGATGGGTACTACCAAAGTTTTCGATGGTATCATACTTTTCCGGGGGGGGGGGAGGATAAGAACGCGCTGCTTCACAAGGTGCTCTCTTTCTTCTGTCGATAGAAGTACAGCTTAAAAACTGTCTAACAGCGAGAAAGATGAATCATTGGCTGAGTTGAATTTTTTAATTTCCTGAACCATACCACAACCTCTCCCGCTGAAGAACTTGTGCAGTCTAAGCGGTGCAACCAGGAATGGACTTTATGAGAGAGAATTCTCCTCTTCTATAATTTGAGATGTGACTAACTTCGTGATTGGAATAGGGTGGAAAGTGTGGAGGTCATATGACGACCCAAACAGCGCAAAAGTTTCGAAGGTGCAATCAACGTATCCTTTCGGTGGAATGTACGATACGGGACTGAGAAAGCAACCTGTAAATTAAGAAATTCTACAAAAAATGCCAAAAAACCACAAGGTATAACTGGTTTTCAACCGCGTGCAAGGCAGGTGTGAGTGGCCAAAACAATAAACAATGCATGAAAATAAATTAGCTCCCAGCGGAGTAGCCACCCAATCAGGCGTTTTCCAACCCCCGCCCCCGTTCGTTGGGAAGGATTGCGTGACGAGCCAAAACGTCTGCTTGGGAAGCCATCAGGGGAGGGAAACGCCTTTCTTCGTGTCCACCAGCATGGCCGCTGTAACCTCATCATGAGGCGTCAGCTGAATAGCAGCAATTTCACATTGTATAGTACGTTGCTACGAATAGACCTCTGTTACTGTACCTTGTATATTTTGCCAGCCATGTAGGTCGTGTGATAATACTCTAGGGAACTGTTTACATTCAAATTTCGTCTTATTCACGTGCATATGTACACATAATTTAAAAAAGGGCAAATACCCCAGAGGCCTTCATGTACTGACAAGTTAGAGGTCTGAAAGTGAAGAATGATCATCGCAGTAAATTTTCCAATTTAAGCAATTGGAAAGAAGAAGCCTGAAAAATCAGGGCTTCAACGGGATTCGAACCCGTGACCTCCGCGTTACCGGTGCGTTGCTCTACCAACTGAGCTATGAAGCAGTTCAAAAATGAACTATTTTATGTATTCTTTACATCATTTCACTCCTCACGGGAGATATGAACTCAATAAATTGATCTCGCTCCCAATGTGTGGCTTCATAGCTCAGTTGGTAGAGCAACGCATCGGTAACGCGGAGGTCACGGGTTCGAATCCCGTTGAAGCCCTGATTTTTTCAGGCTTCTTCTTTCCAATTGCTTAAATTGGAAAATTTACTGCGATGATCATTCTTCACTTTCCTCTACAACCGCAGTTCAAAAATGAATTATTTCATGTATTCTTTACATCAGGTTAGAGGTCTATTGCTACGATTTGCAATTTCCGTCCAGTTTATTCGATCTAAGGGTGATTGGTTAACCCCTCCCGAATTTGCTCCGAGGGAAAGACCCCTTTTTTACTCCAGCAGCGCAAATAACAAGTAGCTAGCGATTTTTCAACTCTGCAGTTTTATTTGTACCCCAGATTTACATTCACCTTTATCATTTAATCACTATTCTTCGGGAAGCACTCCTAGAACATTTCACATCGTGACAGTGTTTGGTAGCGGGACTAAACATTAGACACCTCTGACAACCACATTCCGTGTCCATCACGGCATCGATGTTTTCCTTTGTCGTAATCATCACAGTGAGTGATACGCCATTTGTTCTTCTTGTAAACCACATCAACGTTGTGCTGGTGACCCGCCCCAGTTGATGTGAGAAGCATCTTAATGATGACCCCTCTCCTCGCACGTTCTGCCTCCTCCGGTGTCAATGTGATCTCATGACTGTGAGCTCCTGGAGGAGTCTTGGTGGCGTCCTCCATCTTGAGCGTCAGGGGTTTACTGGGACGTTGCGTTGGAATAACACCTGATCCTCCTGCCAAGGGTTCCCTGTAGAAATAGCTGTACGTTTTGGACTTCATCAAGACGTCTTTGGTTGCCTCTAGTTCCTTCCAGACAGCACTTCCTTCTCCGTGCACGGGCATTATGGGATACCGCTGTCGCAAGACTCCCACTCCACTTATGGGAGGCAGAAAGATGCGAGTTCCGCTGGCTCGAGTGATTCTGACGTTGCCCTTCTTATCCAAAACTCCAACGCTGCTTCTGGCGGTGTCTGCGGCGTCCGTGGCCACTTCTTTCCCCGAGNTCCGTCCAGTTTATTCGATCTAAGGGTGATTGGTTAACCCCTCCCGAATTTGCTCCGAGGGAAAGACCCCTTTTTTACTCCAGCAGCGCAAATAACAAGTAGCTAGCGATTTTTCAACTCTGCAGTTTTATTTGTACCCCAGATTTACATTCACCTTTATCATTTAATCACTATTCTTCGGGAAGCACTCCTAGAACATTTCACATCGTGACAGTGTTTGGTAGCGGGACTAAACATTAGACACCTCTGACAACCACATTCCGTGTCCATCACGGCATCGATGTTTTCCTTTGTCGTAATCATCACAGTGAGTGATACGCCATTTGTTCTTCTTGTAAACCACATCAACGTTGTGCTGGTGACCCGCCCCAGTTGATGTGAGAAGCATCTTAATGATGACCCCTCTCCTCGCACGTTCTGCCTCCTCCGGTGTCAATGTGATCTCATGACTGTGAGCTCCTGGAGGAGTCTTGGTGGCGTCCTCCATCTTGAGCGTCAGGGGTTTACTGGGACGTTGCGTTGGAATAACACCTGATCCTCCTGCCAAGGGTTCCCTGTAGAAATAGCTGTACGTTTTGGACTTCATCAAGACGTCTTTGGTTGCCTCTAGTTCCTTCCAGACAGCACTTCCTTCTCCGTGCACGGGCATTATGGGATACCGCTGTCGCAAGACTCCCACTCCACTTATGGGAGGCAGAAAGATGCGAGTTCCGCTGGCTCGAGTGATTCTGACGTTGCCCTTCTTATCCAAAACTCCAACGCTGCTTCTGGCGGTGTCTGCGGCGTCCGTGGCCACTTCTTTCCCCGAGAAAAAGGCTGATGGCGTCAAGTAGTATTTTTTGCTGTTTACCCCATTGTAAGCCTTCTCGGGGGTTGTACCTCCGTTGCGACCATCTTGAAAAACAGTTTTTCCGTAGGGCGTTCTCTCATCCCCTTTATCCTCGATATCAAATGGGTTCCAGCGGTTTAGGGGCGTCAGGTAGATTATTTCAAGAGGAAAGGCGTATGTCACCTTCTGATGCACCGTCCTGTAGTTTTTCGGTTTCCCCTTTGAACGCTTGCAGCTTCTTACATTCATTCCTGCCACTTTACTTTGAGTGGTCATAGCCACAAACAGGTTTTCATCGGAATAGCCTCGACGCCTCATGGATTGACCCATTGCGTCTTTCTCCATTACCCTGAACCAGCGATGATAGTAAGCGGAGTTCAGCTTTCCCTTTTTGTCAGGGTCCATGGAGTGGGCAGGCAGGTCAAAGGCTTCATCAGTCAGATTACCGGGATAGTTGTCTTTTCCAGGAATCTCACTCATTATCTCATCTAACAGCGTATACTGCGGTCTGTTGAAACTCTCGTCGGACCACTCGTCGGAGTCTTTAGGGTTAAGTTGGAATCTTGCAGCTCTGCTATATTTCTGCTCGTAGTACACCCTTTGCAGGGGAAGCCTTGCATGGAACTCGTCAACTAAACGGAACCTGTTCAACGGAATGTCGCGGCTGATTGGATGGCATAGAATACGGTAATTCCACTGCGCAAAGACTGGAAGTGTTCCGTTGATGATGTCAATGATTGTCGTGGGCAGGAAGGAAAAGTTCTCAAGGTTGTCTTTCCTTCCAGTGTAAGAAGTAAATCGGACTTTCTCTTGCAGTTCGAACCAGGTTTTTGCATCGATAAAGTGCCTGTCACTATCGAACGGCTCATCGATGTCCTTTGTTGCTGTGGTCCATGCGCCTTCTAAGTAGCAGAGTATTGGCTTGAAATACTTTCTGTAATCTCTTACGCTATGATCTTGATCTTTCCAGGCCTTGAACCATTCGCGCATCTCAGCTATCTGCTCGTCCACAGTGGGTTTGTTTTTCACCGCTGGCGGGACGTCTGGAAATGGAATCGGCTCTGTTTTGTGATATTCTTTACTGGTTCTGCTAGGCATGAAGGTTCGGAAGTCGTTGTGCCTGGTCCTGAATTCCACTCCATTGAGAACTGCAATGAATTCTCCGAGCCCAACAGTGCGAACGTTATTGGCGTGCTCATGAATGGCTAAGAGTCTTCCAGCGTCACCATGTGCTTCTGAGAAGTAGTTTCGGGACCCACTTCTGCTAACGCGTACTTGTTTCACCCCAGAGTCGCCATCAGATCGGATACGTTCTTCAACGAACATTTGTTGCATCATAACCTGGCGCGACAGAGCGCCCAGTATCTGGCGAAATGACTCCATTTCTGAGAGTTTAGCGTCACTTACTGCGATGTGTGTTGCAACTGTGGCGGTTAGGAGCAAAACTTTGAGTGCTAGTGCCATATCTGTAAAAATACAATAAAAGGGTTATGGCGAGGACATAGTAGCAAGCCAAGTTAATTCTGACCTATAAACTATTACAGCGCAGTTTCGTTTTGCTTTAAAATGTTGCGTAAATGTTACCGCCTTAATCAAAAAAGTTTCCGAACGAAGACCAAGAAATTATATGTAAAACCCATCCTCAGGAATAGATGTTGTTTCACTTCTTGCAGAAGTTATCTAAGCCTTATCTGCAACAGGCGGCTTATGCAGGGGTACGTATTTGCAGCTTAATTGATTCGAATTCTTGTACTGCTATAAAAACATGTTGTGAGAGAGTCATGCATGTGAAGCACGGAAAACCAAATAGTCTCCTGTCGAAGTTCTTTCAAAGTGGTTTCATCTGAATGATCTCATGCACTATAGATTATTAATCCACAGATTCAAAAGTTTGAAGTAGACATGTCGATCTTACTTCCACTTGGTGGAGTAAACGAAAGTGTTAATTTCTAGCCAAGTAGCTATTAATGTAATAAGAGAACACTTAGGGCAGGAACTATCCAACAAAAGTTTTCCAGAAATAACAAGTCCACACAGAAAAGAGTTAACTCTCCCACTTTAGAGTCAAATTCTAACTTTTAAATCTCATTCTGCGGATGGAAACCTTTAATGTGAGTATTTTAATGCCGAAATCTATGTAACAGTTTAATACTTTCCGTTTTCTGGTAGTTGACAAAATTATATCTGTAATTTTCCACAGTTCTTTTTAACTGTGAGTAAATGGATAGTCCCACAGTCATTCTCTTAGCTCACTGTATTTGAAAAGAGATATATCACACATACCTGGGCAGGTTCCAATCCTTATCCAATCTTGTAGAGATTGATCGACTGCTTGAGGAAATGGCTTCTTCAGTAAAGGTGGAGAGAAGTGATTGTTATTTGGGCCAGCATTTGCTTTTCGTTTTTGCTACAAGACGGTGCTAATCACTACATTATTGTGTTAAGGTCAAGGTCAAACTGGTTCATAAGTAGGTATTCAAAAGCCCCTGTTACATCTTATTGATAATTTTGTTTACAACGAACGAGACTTTGTATTGATTGCTTCCTTTCGAAGACACTTGATAAACGCTGAATTGGACATATTTATTTCTCATTTGAAAAAGTTTACTATAAGGATCGAGGGACAAAATACAGCTGGAGGGAAAGCAAACATGCAGTTGTTTTCTTCTTTTTGTGTTGTTTTTAGCGATAATTGCTACTTTGCTCAACTGTTCGGGACTGTTCGCCATTATTTTAAGTCACAACACTAGAATAAAACCAACACGGCTAGAAATATTGTATAGTATTTAAAAAGCTAAAAGGTTTCTTGTTCTTATCAATTAGATTGAAGTTTCACAACATCGCATGACAGACTGAAGGTATATCAAGTGAAAACTTACAATGCTCGGAAAAAGGGCTGTAACTTGTTAGACGTTATTATCAATCGTTAAATAAGGGCTCTATATATTCCTACTCAGTATTCAAGTAATATGTTCACATAAAAGCAACAACAACAACAAAATGAGTACAGGATCGTACAGCATTTTTAAAGTGATCGAAATCAAGAATGTTTCGAACTGAGCAAAGAGGAAACAAATAAAGTCATGAATTGATTTTCTTTATTTGCGTTATTTTTTATTTAGTTAAATTTGTTTGAGGAGTGTCACTTCTCATTAATGGCAACCTTCGTTTTCACTTTATTGCATCTATATTCTTGGCTTTCGCGTCGACAATTGCGATGTCACTAAAGAAAACTCTTTGTGAACGTTTCACAACTGTCTTTCTTAATGATTTATCACCATTTTCTTTTAATTTTGTCCTAATTTGAACAACAAGAGACTGCAGCATTTATAACCTGTTTGGGGGTACATTTGTGCGCCAGCTTTCACGAATGAATCCCGAACTGAATTGGGAGAAAAATCATTTTGGTATTCTTCCATGTGTGCAAGACTTGAATAGCGCCACGAATCAGGCGCGGAAAGATTAGCAGTCGGTGGATCATGCGTTTTTGAAAAGATGGAAAGTATTGCAAAGTATTGCTGGATCAAACAATTCTGGATAATTTTCTGGCAATGTTGGTTTTGGAAGTCCAAAAAGTCGCACTTCAATCTTGTCTCGTTTACCCACTCAGTTAATATTTGGTTCCTGTACGTCCTACAGGAAGTTATTGTTTCACAAGATTTAGTTCAATAACATTCCCTTTATTAAACGAAATAAATATATCATCACCATCAACAAAATTGTAATTTAAACAATTCTAAGCGGGACTTTTTTTCACTCTTCCTTTAAGAAGAGACATTTTTTTTAATTATGAATCGCAGTTCTAAAATTCGAACCGCCAGGAGGGAAAGCCGCTCCCTACTTAAAATTGTTTAGCTGATATCAAAAATGTAGATTGCTTTGCAATCAAAAAAACATGTCTCGCTGACGGATTAGTGTTCTGTCTCTCGTCCCTGAAGTTCTCACCAACTACGAAATAACCTTCAAAACAGACGGCTTTTTTCTCAAAATCGGTTTAGCGTAGCGTTACCCTGCGGCGAAAATGTAGCCTCTGCTCGCAGGGTAGCGTAGCGTCAGAGTAGCTTAAGAGTCTCACGCGCGCGAGTCTCGTAGCGCGTGTGACTCTTCCCACTCTCGCTCTCCGTTTTCAGCCTCGCTTCAGACCTTTAGTTTCTGACTGTTCGCACGTATTTGAATACGCAAAAATACGGACTGTTTTATAGTCTAACACCGAAACAGCACTCTTACGGAAAGGAAAGTGGAAAATTAGCGAAAATAGTTATAAAGATATGATGCCACTGGTCAGCATATTATACGAATTTGCTTGTAAAACGTTCGTGACAAAGTCAAAGTCGCTCTGTCGCCAATATACTCCACGAATCGGGTAGCCAATTGTAGTCATGGTAAACCGGCTCGTGCGGGTATTCTGGCAAATTTTTCTAGCCACACTGTCTCCACCTCACTCCATGTCAACCGTGACCGAAAATGTTGTGAATGCGAATTTGCAGAAAGTTAGAGAGTGGAAAGTAATAGCGACGAGCAAACGTGCTGCATCGTATCACTATTATCCTTCACCCATGGGCAACTTCTTGCATTACCCATGGGAAATCGTCACCCATGGGCAACTCGTTGTGTAGCAACACAGGCGACGCGGGCCTTGCACTGACTGCCATGAACACATCTTTCCCTTGGGGTAGTGATGTTAGGAGATGATTGGCGTCAAGAAAGCTTTACTGTTTCTTGGACTTTTATTCCTGTTCTCGTCTGTTCTTCCCTCAGTTATACCTGTTGATGAGCGGCGACTCGCCAAACTGAGGTTAGATGATGACCTTGCATCACCCATTCCTTCTAAAAACAACGGAGCAGACGGATAGAAAATTAGTTAAGGGGGCTTTAATGTATTATAAGAGTCGGCAAAATCGCGAGGGTGGGTGGTGGTTGGGTCATTTTGGGAGGCTTGGTAGGGTTGAATAAAGTATGAGTGCCGTAAAGCGGTGGGTTGGGAATCTTCAGTTGTTCAATACAAGGGGAGGAAAGGGGGGGGGGGAGCGGGTTTTAGGAATAATTCGCAGATCCCCGAGCTCATTATGAATGAACAACCCCCCTTGACGGTTTGACCACTTTAGGGGTAAGGTGTGGGAAATGACCAGAGGAAGCAATCGACTCTTAAATGTGTAGCTACTGATTAGAAAATGAACGCAACCGGAAATAACCCTTACCCTTTTGAAGAGGTTGACATTGCTCCTTCCACTTCCGTCGATTTTCCGCCAGTGCCGCTACCCAGGCCCTCTCCTTACCCCCAGATCCCTCTAAGCCAAGTTCAACCGCGGCTTGTGAAATCCTCGTTTCCAGTAAAATGTCCATCATTTCGCCGCACAATTCGAACGCTGGTAGCACGATAAATTCGATAAATCCTGGCAGAAAGTAGAAAATAAGATCGAGTTGATGAAACATTTCTGTACTGGAATGTTTGAAGTAAGAAGACTAAGAAAGTAAGATGTGCCAGACTCTCAGAGAGCAGGAACGTTACGAAAACAAGGTTAAGGGAAAATAGAACACACCCTATGTGGGAAAGGAGGCGGCGGCGGCGGCGGGTTGAGAACGTTTTTTTTTTCCTTAATGTGCATTATCCTACGCAGTGGCGGATCCAGGGGAGGGGGCCGGGGGGCCCGCCCCCCCTCCCCCTTATTTTTTGACCAAAATGAGGCCCGAAGGGCCAAAAAAATTTTTTTGGAGACCGGCCCCCCCCTTATCTCAGCGTCTGGATTAGGCCTTTCCCGATTGCGCTAAGCACCTTTTGAGCACTTTTTTGAGTTTGGAGCACTATTTTGCATTTTGAGCACCCTTAAGCACTTTTTCGCACTTTGGGTAACATTTGAGCAATATTTCACATTTCGAGCAAATTTCGAGCAACATATGTCTTCTAAAACATTTTAAAGCAAAAACTGTGTGTCGCTTGCAACGAGAATCGTGTTCCAGGTCGTAAATTTGAATAACTAATGATGTTGTCAATAAAAATATTATTGTTCTATATTCTATCAACCTTTCGTAACAACCTGTCGAATAACACTACGCAAAATAGATTGTTAATTACTTCAGTAAAAATTGACATATTTACGAAAAGCTTAGAGGTAACTGTTCAGAACTTTTAGCACTTTTTGAGCACTATTTTGAAATTTTGAGCACTTTTTGAGCACTTTTTAGCCATTTTTGCCAGCACTTTTTTACGATTTTACGAGCGCAATCGGGAAAGGCCTAGTCTGGATGACCGCACCCCCTCCCCCCTTATCTGAAGGTCTGGATCAGCCACTGCTACGCAACAAAACAATTTCCAAAAACAACTGCTCTGCGGAAACAAATCTTCTTCCTCCAGTTCAATGTTGCTTCCTACAAACGCCCAAGGATCAGGCTTTCTTTAGAAGACACAACAACGTTGCTTCCAGTGGTAGGGGGGAGGAAAGAATCGCAATGGTTAGGATGTTTAGAAAAATGCTCTCTAAGTTTGCAATTTTATCAAGAGTTTTGTCCAAGATTGTAGCTTGATGCAAACAAGCTTCAGTGGTTTTATAGTAAAATGGCGACATAATGAAAAGCCTATCCACAATTTAAACTATCGCATTGAAAATGATTTTGCATGCATTGCGTACCTAACTGACTCTCCGGTATGAAGGTAACAGAACGATCACAAAGCGGTGAAATGGGTAAACCCAGCTCCATCTCGCGGTCTCCCTGAAAAAATACATGAGCATTAATTATGCAATTGCATCAATCGACAGATGTAAGCCGCTGATCACTGAAGATTTCGCTTGTGCGTATCGTATGGTACTGTCATGTTCAACCCGTTTATGTTTTCTGCTTTATCAACGCACGCTTTGTTGGGTTATTTAGTGTTAGTTTTCTCCGGACCGAGTTAGCTTTCCATTTTCAGCGCTGACTCTCAATCCAGGTCTGTTCAGTGTTCCCCTGATGTGAACGACAGACCTTCTGAGCAGACTATAACTTTTAATTTACATTAACATCAGTCTATTTTCCTGTCTACATTAGTGAGCTCACTAGAACATAATAACAGTGTACCATAGCTATTTCTCAATTTAGTTCTTGTATTGTTGCTAAATGAGTATTTACCACTTACTTAATGCTACACATTCATATTTAAAAATATCTAACGCATTTGTGGCTAATTTTCCCGCAGCTACATGTAGTTCACGGTCAATGAACTAATGTGTGGTAGTTGAACTACTGTTGTAGTTATTGAACCGTTGAGTGGTTATTGAACTGTTGTGTGGTTATTGAACTAACAAAAAAGGAAAACCTCCTTACGTCCAGTGGAGTGAGAGCGAGGGTTGTATCGGGAAGTGCCATTGGGTCAATGCAAAACATTTAGAAGACTTTCACGATGACGTAAAATAAAATGTTTTTTACGCTTTCTCATGACTGATTATCAAGAGCGCTGCAATCCTAATCTCCAGGTTGCTATTAAGCATGCGCAGCAGGTACGTAGCCTAATCTCGTATCCAGATCTCTCACGGCATAAGACAGAGTGAGATCTGGGTACGAAATTATATGTAGCTAGCATTCGTTTTGACTTCCAAATCTCAAATCTCAAATCTTTATTTTAACACGGTAAAAAAAAAAAGAAAAACTAAGATTGAATAGAGTGAGGAGAATGCAATCTGATCACGCGCGCTTGGACGTTCTATCACGTGAAACTAAGAAAAAGTACAGCTTTGATCGATCTCCCCGCACTCCCAAAACTTTGGTTACTTCTAGCATAGACTGCTCACTGACCTGGCAGAAGAATTCTTCCATAATACGTGTCGTCCATTGACGATGTAAATCCCAGTCCTTCGCCGGATTACTGATATCAGCCACATGCAAAATGAATTCCAGTGCCTGGCTCTTTTCTACTTGACTTTCAAAGAAAAAAATGTGTCAATCAAACTAAATTTTCTCTCAACGCTGCCAAAATTTTAAGAACAGTAGAAGGTATGGTATACTGTCTAAATTTGAATTCAAAGAGCCAATAATTAAGGACAAACTAACGGAAGGCTAGCGACAAACCAGAAGAAAGAAAAAACGCTGAGAAAGTGGTGAAATATTTTCAGACAGCTTTTCGCGACTTTAGAAACGAGATGAGACTGGAGCCGAAATGCTTCCCGCAATTGTTTGTGGGATCGCTATTTGGGACGCGCCGGTCAGCTATTGGCCAAGTTTTTTTTTGCGAAAGCTAACTCGGCCCAGGTTCCCTCTCGTTTTTAAAGTGGCGAATGAATATCGCAATGCAATCTTACCATCCAAGCACCGTCAGCGCAGCTTTCATGGCTCGAAGCTGTTCAAAATGTGAAGACATGTCTGTTGCTAGGACCATGTCGACCACAAGTGTTCTTATACCGCTGTCGGATAGAAATAATGATAAATTATAGATATAACTCGCGCGGAAAACTGTTGGGGAAATTTGTAAGGAAATCAAGTGAAGTGAATAGTATTAGTTTGGTTAGGCAATTTAGAAGGATAAGTCAGCTAAATAGCTTTATCTGGTTTGAAAGTAAGTAGCCTGGGAGCAAGCTCTCTATCTGAGAGAGGCGCGAGAAATCAAGCGTGGGCGGCACGCGAAAAGACACACGAGAGCGAGGAAAGGGGAAAAGAAAGGCCCTCGCTCTCGCGTGTTGTCTCGCGGCTCGCTTTGCACACTACTCGAAAGGGAGAGCCTGCTCACAGGTTAGGTTTGATAGCCAAAAAGTCTAATTACTAACCTGTACTGCTCGGGTGTTAAACCTGCAAGAATGTCTAGTTCCCTCTATAAAAGAGATAAGATGAAACGGAGAAAAAAAAATTAGCTTTACGTTTGAAAAGGCAGAGTCAATTCGAATGCATACTTACTGATTTTAATAGCTTGAAGGCAGAGCACAAGTGATGATTTTCCAGCACACAGCGATCATTATACAAAAGAGCGAGTTCAGACCTGGCAATAAAAGTATTTTAGAAACTACGATAAAACAACACCTGGGGCTTTGCAAGTTTTCTTAGTAAAGTGGAAAGAGAAACAAGAAATTGATCAGTTTCACTCACCATTCAGCGATACCTAGTTTTATTTGATCACAACGCCACTAGTTCGTTTGATTGGGTAGAAAGAGGGTGTCGTCACGTCACAATTGTAGCAATATTTCTGGATCGCAACAATATTTCTTGACAGAAACGGTCCTTTACATTGTCGAACGATGGAAGAAAAGAATGGGCTACCGAGTTCAATCACGCAAAGGAAAGTCATGAATGTCAATTTTTTCGTTTTTTCTGCCATATTTGCAGGACCACGGTTTTCTGCTACCGTGGCAACGAGACGTCACGACTTCTCCCCTCTATTGGAGGCATTCTCTCCTGGTAGAATTTTGGCTTATTGTTGGGCACTCATTTCACGGCAACTCTTGGAGGAGGGCGTGCCGGAAGTTTCACCACTTGGGCATTTTACTTTCGGCTTTCATTTTTACCAGAAGCCCATACTCACCAGTCCTCCTGCCGAATTAATTTTTCGTTATAGAGGGCATGGTGAGGCTTCAATTAATGATATAGCGTGGTCACGCTGGTTATGTTTCAACCCATGTCGGAAAAATTTCTGTTGATTCGTAATCTCGTACCCAGATCTTGTATTGACGAAGCCAAAGGCGGAGATCTCGCCTTAGGCTTCGTCAACAAGAGATCTGGGTACGAGATTGCTTGATCTGTTGTCTGTAGAAATGTAGATTTTTAGACTAATATTTAAACCTCGTTTCAGATCATATATTGCCTTTGCTATACTCGTTTCAAATCAAAACCGCTTCTGCGTTAAAGGTAAACACAAAATGAAATATCGCTGGGAACTGAAAACAAACCGCTCGCATCTATCTGCGGATTTTTGTCCTAGTTAACGTGAAAATCCCAGCTATCCAGACTACCTCAACATGAAACATGATTTTCTAGAGAGAGCGTCAGTAACTAAGCTTGAAGTCCAAGGAGCACCTAGACACAATATTAATTCCACACAATACCTTGAATTGACATGAAAGAGATTTGTAGTTCCAGTGTGGTTGACGTCATGTATAATAGCGGAAAGAAGAAGCGCAAAAATCTCCAGGTCACTCATGCAATGCTGTAACAAAAATATCCTGCGTAAGATTCGAATCTACATGAACCCTGTTATGCACAGAAGGTAAAACATATTAAAACTTTTTAAGTTTTTATATATTTACGATATTGTTGATCGAGCTGGGGAGACCCAGTTATAACACAAAATGATACTCTAAAATAATCTAAGGTAAGCTATAAGTACATTTATGAATCAAAAGTTTAATCACGGACTAAAGGTGAGCAGTACTTCAGGAATCGGACCCAGGCCTATACATTTTCACAAAAATGTTAACTTTGAATTTTCAAATTGAATTTGAATGCGGAGAAGATCGACTCTAGCGACGAGGGCACCAGGATGATGAGATACGTTCCCGGATCCTCCCGATCTCAATAATAACGTTAGCCTGCGAGCGAGTTCTCCGGGGCGCTCTGACGGCGGGGCGAGAAAAGGAAGCCGAGAGCTTGCAACTACGTCTCTGGAATCTGAATCCCACCTTCAATTCCCCTGTGGTTCCCCGTAGACCGAGCTGTTAAATTTCCGCCAATCAGCGCGAAGCGGAAACGAGAGCGAATGTAAACAAGCATTGAAAAACACGTGCCAAGGGAAATGACGTCATTACTTTTGTCATCTCCGCCAAGCAGCATTTCGCAGCGACTTTTTCGATGCAGATATTCAGAATCCAGAGACGTAGTTGCAAGCTCTCTTTCATTTTCCGCCCCGCCGCCAGAGCGACCCGGAGAGCTTGCTCGCAGCTTACGAAAATGTACTGCAGCTGAATTCGCCACTTTAAAAACGAGAAAGAAACTGGACCAGGGTCGCAAAGACCCCTGGGATTATTACTGGGGACTGAAAAAAATTGGCCAATAGCTGATGACCGGCGCGTTCCCAGTAACGATCCCAAAAGCCTTTGCAAAAGCTAACTCGACCCAGCTTCTTTCATGGCGGAATTACTCACCTTGAGACCTACACGAGATAGAAAATAGTGCACCGAGTGCGTGACATCAGTCGCGTGAAGTTCGTTGTGGTACGGATTCTGGGGTCTTTTATATCCGTCCTCGATTGCTAGTAAGAATCTGTCCAGTGTTGCCGTGGTAATCTGTCAAAGTAACAATAGCCTTTCATTCCCAAGAGTGCTCGAAAGTACAAAAAAGAAGGAAAAAAACAACAAATATTCTTAATTTCTTCTTGCAAACTGCTTAAAAACAAGTAGTGCCATCAGTGCCGGATCCAGACTTTGAGATAAGCGGGTCGGGGGGGGGCGGTCATTCAGACCCTTAGATAAGGGGGGAGCGGTCTTCGGGCGTCAGTTTTGTCTAAAAATAAAGGGGGAGCGAGTCCCCCGTGCCCCTCCGCTTGATTCGACACTGGCCACGTAAACGTACTGTCAACAAAGTGTGAACTACTCGTGATGAAACCCCCCGCCATTATTTCCAGGGTCCTAATGTCTTCTACTGCCTCGTCCTCAAGTGCCACTGGCGCGCGGAAAACAGAAAGCATAAAGCATTATGGGAAGGATCATAAAGCGTGTGCAGTGGATCTTTCCCAACAACCCAAGCGCCCGGTATGAAAGTAAGAAGGGGAAGCCCGTAGACGAAGCAGCCTAGATCTAGTTGACGGGAGTAGGATCTTGGAAAGAGGTTCGAGAGCAATCGTGTTTCTTGCCTTGTTAATGTTTTAGGCGGTTTGCGCTCGAAATTTCTCACTGGAATGATCACGAAACGTTTGAGAACAAGAGTTTGTACAACGAGCTTTGCTTCTAATTATAAATTTCGTTGCTCACCTTAAATTTTGCCATTAGATCATAGCGGATGAAAAGTTCGTGACCAAGATAACGAAGCGTATGCCCTCCTGTTAGTTCATTAAACTTGAAAGGATCGAACGTCCAGTTGTCTAAAGTCTTGAACATGAAAAAAATACATCTCATCAGTCCATTAGAAATGCAAGTGATAAAATAAATATACAGAAGTGTGGTGTTGTTCAAAAGTGTAACGAATGGTGAAAATATAAGTGTTATCCAGCATAACGATAACACCCTGCTCAATCTGAATAACTATCTTCACATCACACGCGACTCAGCCTCATCCACGCAATAATTGTAAAATAAAAATGATATAAGATCAGTAAAATTGCTACTGTAGAAAATATCAGATTGCCTTTTGGAAAAACACCTATCTCCGTTATTACCTTGTAGTAAACTTGTACTTCCTCTGGAACTTGAAATTTAGATTTTTCAGCCATATTTTGATAAATCCTTGAAGAAAGAAGATGGGTATAAATCAGTTAATATAAAAGGCCATTTCCGAGTTGCTCCAAGCCTCTGTTTCAAAGCGAGGCTAAGTGCAAATCTATTGATGTAAAAACGATTTTTTATTCCCATATCGCTTCTTGTTGTAAAAGGTCAAGGGGCGGTAGAATTGAAGTTTAAGTGAACTGGGCCGGTGATCTTGGCTGATTGACAAAACGAATTCTCGTCGTCAGAGCCCCACATCACTTTTGGTCATGTGTTCTTGAAAATTAAGTCGAGTGGCGCTGGGGACGAGAATGGACAAAGCATTTCTGGCAAAAATTTTGGTGCTGCTCTCTTTGGCGCCTAATATGAATCCAAGATGGCAGAGGAAGGGTCAAACAACATGCTTTTGTGGTTTTTGTTTTAACTAATGCTGGCGTTTTCACCTATTATTATCGTTTATTTTATTCTCTCTACTAACCTTTTGACGTACAAACTAGCTTTTACCGCCTGGACTACACTTCGAAATGTATGCCGTCGGGCCAAACTCTTTCTGCGCATGCCTGGAGTTGTCCTTGCAAACGTGGTCGCAATCCACTCCCGCACCTCCTCATTGACGTCATCAGAGTAAAAGCTACTTTCAAGCTCCTCGTCTATTTCACTTAAGGCGCTTGTGGAATTCCTAAAATGCAGTAGGAGAAAAAAGGAGAGAAATGTTTATGCCGGAACACCATGGAGGTCAAATATTTTTTCCGAAATGGGTCGAAAATTTGACCGGCAAGGTGTGAACACCATAAAAGTCTATGCGTGGTAACTCAGCTTGGAGACGCCATTTTGAAAGTAGCACTCTGCGCATGGGCAGATAAAAAAAACCATAGATAGTAAAACTAACTGGTTTGTCAGCTCGGTGTGAACAGAGCGAGAATACTAAACGGTTTCGTGTGAACAAGAAATTGTCCGGTCAAATTTTTTAGCCGGTCGAAACTTCGTCCAGTGACGTGTGAACATAACGTTAGCTGTATGTGTATACTAATTATATCACACGTGAGCTAACTGTAAACAGAGCAAAGTCTACATCAGCTTACATACCTGAAGTCCCTTCCCGGGGCTGCCGTATTTGCTTTGTCCAACATGGCGACTGCAATCCCTAGTTCGTGTTTCATATCGTTCATTGACAAAGATCTGCCTGAATCCAGTTGATCCATAATTTCACGCAATCTGAAAAGTCAAAATAGCATTTCTTTGAGTGACTGGGTATAAACCAGTCTACAAATCGACTACTTTTCTCGAACCTTAGTTATACTGTTAATATGACTTAAGTTTAGCAACTGATTTCATGAATTTGACCTTCTTCTTGAAGTTGTCTCCACATAATTGAACCGCACTGTCAGCACGTCCATAATTCCAGACATTACAGCTCCCATGCTTAAAATAATGGTTGTTTCTTGCGGAGTGACAGATTGCAAAGAGCCTCAATGTTTGCTCTATTTTCTATGACACGAGAAATCCACGCACGACAACTCGTACAGACTAATGGCTCGAATCCAAGTTATAAATCACTTTACACGCCTTCATTAGTTCTAAAGGCAAACATATTGTGACTACTTGGAGCCTAGCACGTTTGGTTTACTCTCGATCGCACCGTGACTAACAAAAGCCAAATATTCTTTGCAATCCTTCCATGACTGCCATAAAAGAGATGTATTTCACACCCTACGTAAAGGAACAAGTTCTGGAATGCAAATTATCGTAGGAGTAAACAGTCAATTAGAACTATGTTTGAAAGTTTGCTCTTTAGGGAATTGAATTCTTTTTCTTCTTTTGTTCTCAAAGTGTACTTTTCTTATGTTTGCACGCACATGAAAGCAATATTAGGCTATAACTCCGGAACATTTATACTCTTATTGAAGCTCTTTTCAACAGAAAAAGAACTCTTTCTAGGATATAATCGGATTTTTTCAGAAAAAATGTACACTAAAAACACTAAAAACTGTACTTGTCTACCTTTTTACAAGAGTTTATGTTCAAATGACGTTTACTTTTGGGAAATTAAATGACGCAAATTCAGCACGTCATTTAAGGCCTACGGATTAGCACGTTGCCAATAGTGTTAAGCAATATATTCATGTTTGTTAATCTCTCACTTAAGATCGAATATCGATGCTACGTACACGCGAGTCCGTAAGTTTGTAAACTTGTACAAATCTTTGCGTTAACGACTTCCGTCTGCATATGCCGTGACGATGTTAGTATCTCGCAAATTGTTTTTAGATTCATGTAGAGTGAAAAAAGAACCGGGCCAAGACGCTGAACAGATAAAAAATGCTCCTTCTTACATCTGTATGCGTTTAGGAGCTTCAAGAAACTTCTGCAGGGTAATCTTTGTCCATGAGAGATTTGAAAACGAAAACACAAAAAGAGGAATTTATCGAAAGGTACTGATGATGAGTTGAAGTTCTTTGAAAAGTTTGCTAATTTTGGACTCAACGGGACCTTGAGTATAATGACGCCATTATTTTCGAAAAAAGTAAACACCAAATCACAAAGAAACAGACAATTAAAGCTGTCAGAATGAACTGGCTATTTGCGGATGAAAACAAAAACAACAACTATAAATAGAAAAATGACTCGAAATTTAAGCGGAAAAAAACTTGCTCACCAAATGAAGCATACGAGATAATGCTGAAAAGTAGATGAAGAAAAAGAACAAGGAGAATGTAAGCAAGCTTATTATTGCGACGTAACGATGGGTTTTCGTCGCTACTTGTCGAATTCGCTACATACTAGTTCGGAACACGTTTGATACACATTAGGCTTTCTGTAAACCATCGAAAATAACCCCTTAATCCCACTAGAAATCTAGAATATCTAATAAATATCTCGTTCTTTTTAGCCCTGCTTCCGAAGGTGCAAGTTTTGAACTTTGTCAATAGGCAGCTAGCCGAGTATGTAGATAGCGAACTCGAACGTAGCGAATTTGACAAGTAGCGAAACTGGTGTAAAGCATCACCACGAGGCAGGTGCAAAAGACATGATACGATACGTCATTATCCACTCCTACACTTCAGAAAACACTCTTTAAAGTAAAAGTTTTGGGGTGAACAAGTGGTTAATATGTATTGTTCAATGGACATTTCACTCAGCCGTTTCTACAATGACGTGCTCACCACTCGAGGATTGACGAGTCTATTTTTCTTATTTTTATTTTATAACTGGTTAAGTTTATTTTTTTCTTGCCGAAAGAAATAGCGCAGGTTCAGAAATGCCCCAAAGATGGTCGACCCCCACCAAATCAAGGGTTAAAAACAAATATAAATTAATTTTGTTCATCAATAAATATGCATATAATTGAAATGTATAAACTAGCAATTGCGGGGCTTTTACCTGAGAATAACAAACTTGAAATGAATAAATGGAAAATTTGGACTACCCCTTCTCTTTAAATCAAGGATGAAAAAATGGTGAAAATAGAGGAGGGCGTGAGGAATGGTTTCTTTTACATTTTATTCCCGGCGTCCATGATAAAAAGATTCACCTTCCAAGACTACAAAACGTGAGTTTAAATTTAAACACTAGGTTAGTGCAAACCCCGGCCTTCTAGTTCTATAGCTGAGTTCAGTAGCCGATTAGAGAACTGACTTGTAAAACTAATCAAATGTGTTTCACATCAACTTGGTTAGTTTTTATCAAAACATATTCCCCTTATATATACCTGGTGCGAATGATTCTCTCCTCACGGGAAAGATTGACGGGACTACATTTTATTCATGTCAATGGGTCGATGCCCATACAATTAAACTAAAAATGGTTAAACCAGATGCCTGGGTGCCCAACGCCTATTTCGTCTTCACGTTTAGTTCTAGAGAGGTTTGGATCACCCGATTCATACCGCTACTCTGCGACCTATGTTTCAAGACAACCGCAGTAATTGAGAAGAAGAACAAATAAGATATTTGAATGTTCAATCATTTAAAGCTCGCGCATCCCCTAACTGTAAGTTGTTTCCTCGATAGTGTTTCGCGTGGAATAATCACATTACCTGATCTAGGCAATACAAGGGTTTCAAGGAGTTACCATCTTTAACAGCCGTACTTTTTCGCGATGCGTCCATGCTTTGGGCCTTTTTCACCAAAATAGTTGCGCTTGAATGAAATCAAATTTGACCATACGTCTTATCAATTAACCTTTGCGTAACCTCATGGAAATTCCTCTCTGTTACTCTTGGATTGGTTTTCGGTGATGACATACTTGTATTTTAGATATCGATCCAGTTGACGTACTTCTATACTAAACGTATGTCAAAGGTTTCAATAAATTTTATTGGGCATCAGCGGAGGGGGTTTGAGGCAATTCATGTAAGCATTTTCAAAGTGAATTTTAAGATATCGTAATCGTTAGTTTCAGAATACACTGACGCTGCCAATGTGAACCCCAGGAGTGCCCGCATTCATTTCTTAAACGTACAATTTGAGGAAGTAACAAGCGAAAAATAGAAGACACCAATCGTTTACCCTTTGGACAATATTCACACAGTCTTCAAAACTCTCATGAAAATCGAAAGATCTTGGGGATTATTCTGATTATTGAATTTCAATTCTCCCATGAAGGATCCAGCTTTTTGGACTCGCCACATTTTCCCCCGGGGGGTGGACTCCGCATATGAAAGGGGTGGGGATGCTCGTCGGAAATTTTGAATTAAACCCTAAAGGAGACCGACCAAAACACCCCAAGTGAGACCAAAATCCGAAATTTACACCCCTAAGCGAGACGACGAGCATCTCCACCCCTTTCATATGCGGAATCCCCCCCCCCCGGGCATTTTCACTCTTTACCCAAATATTTTTATTTTGTATGAATTCAGTTTTGTTCAAAAATCTAGGTTTTTATCTTTGGTGAGTATTTTCTTAAAAAAGTCGTGTCATACGACGAAAGTAGATATTGCTCAGATCGTGTTGCTTGCTAAACATTTGCATTGCATCTAGAGTCAGTTTCGATTTTCACTTTGTGGATGGTTTCGGCAGCGAGAAAATGCACTGAGAAAAATCGTTTGCTTTCGCAACTGATTATGAAACGTTGCTATAAAGGGAGGAGTCGTTTTAATTATTTGTAGCCCACAGTAAAAACGCAGATTTAACAGGAGTAATTGCATTACCCCTAAAAAGCCTTTTTTTCCGGCAAATTTCAGTAAGACTCCAAAACGCTGGAGGAGGAAAATGTGGATGTGTTAATTCTCTCACTCATCATTAATTTTCATTTCATTCTATTTCATGATTATAGCGGAGCCCCATAGCTAAGAAAAATTGGTTATCTAGCTATCTATCACGTGACCGTTCGTCCGTTCGCCTGCCTCCCTTCCTTCCGCACCACTGGGAAACCAGTGTGAAATCTCACACTTTCTAGCTAATGTGGGAGCCTGCTGTAACCTAATATTGCACATCCATGTTGTGGCCAGTTGACAGATGTCAAAACGGCGTATTCGCTGACCAGTATCACATGACCGTATCGCGGGCTCAGGGGTCGACACATCGAATTTTTTGAAGTTATCTGCTGACAAATTTCTAGTTTTTGACTGATCGCAGTCTCAAATTTAAGTGGACGTGTATTTATTAACGGGATCTTCGTCTTTAGCCTTGGCTAAATTTTATATATTATGTTACCTCGAAACGGCGAGAACTGAAGCTTTCTCCGAGGACGCACTCTCGTACTTGCGAAAGCCATCACAGATGCACGCTTCACCGTCATTTTCGTTAGCTCCGCATGCACAGTCACCAGGCACTTTGGTCACGTGAATATGCGGCTGGATAGATGTCTCTATTTTAAAAGCAAAACAAAATAATCATCAGTCACTTGCTAGCCGATTATCAAGTCCTTGGTATTGAAGTATACGTAAGAGAGGCTGTAAGAAGGCTCACACAACGATTGTGTTTATACTGAAGCGTTTTCACGCACGTGGTCAGCAGCTATACAAAGAAGCGTTTATCTAATAAAAGAGTTCAACCCCTACAGGATTTGTTTGGGAAACCAACATGGCCGCCGTTTCAATATTTTGGAACACCAATATGGCCGCCATGACGTCATGTGAAAACAATCTGTAATATGCGTAAGCCAGTGTCATTTTGGCGGGAAAACGTGGTAGCCGTAGTCATAGTATAGTAGGCCGTCAGTCTCGGGAAACTTGGATTTGCGCTCTTGTCACGGTGGACTAAACAGCGTTCTCTGAGGCGGCATACTGTATTTCGCGGTCCAATCCAGTCCACCTCAGTCCAGTCCTCGAAATACAGTATTCTGGGTGCACAGTCCAATGCGGGAGCGGCAGTCTGTTCCTCAAAGTTTGCACATGTAGTTGGCGGGTCGTCGTCATACCACTGCGGGTTTTAGAGAAAATATTGTGGTAGTGTCGACGGAAACAAGTTATCAATCGTTAGAAGCTTTTATCATTTAATATGTGATCGAGAGAGTGCTTAAACTCGAATAGCTTTTGTTAAATGTAGGCCATTCAGTGTGTATGTTTTATGCATGGCATTGCTGTTAATAAAGTTGTTGTCGTTGCGAAGTGTTGTTGACTCCTTCAATAAAATAACCTTGTTAACTTTTCTGGCGCGAAAAAGTAAAATGGTCGAAGTTTTCTGGGGTTTCTATTGTTTGAGAATACGCGAAAAACGTGCAAAGAGCACTACTCACTTGTGTGGTATATACTTAAGCGATAGGCCGCACTTTTTATTGGTTTACCGTCGAAATCTACAGACAATTCGTGTCAGAGGACTGTGTTTGAATTTGAGATGTATACGAATTATATAACCAAATATAGACGCCGTTTATGCAAAGGATCTTTACATTTTTCATGCAAGGTTCAGTGCTGTGAAGAGTCAACGAGTGTTCAAAACTGTAGAGAATCCTCATCAGGGCGACTTTTCCCCGCAACCGTTTTGTTATGTTAAAACTTTCTTTTGTTCGAATAAATTTACATAGCTGATGGCCCCTTGAGTGAAAACGCTCTAATAAAGAGACAAAATTGCAAGTTGGACAGAAATTGTAGGCTGAGAATTCATCAACTGCTACCTGACATGACCTGAGAGCATCAACTGTCCTTCAAGTTGTAATTGGCACCAAGTTAAAGACAAAACAGGTCTCTGCTTTGTAGACGGTAATCACTTATTTAACCGATCTTCTTATATAATAACTTGGGAAATAAAGTGCAAACAGATATACCAAAAGAGAGTTAAAGGAGAAACACACCGAAAGAAAAATAAAATGAACTTTTCACGGCGAAAATGCTATTTGATGTTGAACGTGAAAAAGATGGGAATTGCTCAAAAAAATGCAGCAAATGTCAGTCTGCTTATAAGCAGTCTATGCAAATTTATCTATTTAATAAGCTGACCAAAACTAAACAAAAAAAAAACAATCAAAATTGAGTGAACAACGGGAAGAAATTTTAATTTTCTATATTTGAAGGTTTTAAAGGATGAAAGGAAATCATTATTCCAAAACCATTGCGAATATGAAACTGCCGATACTTCGAAACCAAGATTCAAAATCATCAAAGATAAAACTGGGAGATACAAGAATATAAGGCTTACATTATAATCATTCAAAGAAGATAACAACGAAAAATAATTGCTTTGGGTATAAAATAACTTGAATTATGCATTTGTATATTCCGTTTTTTTTTCCTTTTACGTCATCAACATCTTTTTCACTTCATTAAATAACTGGACGGCTAGTCACACAAATTGATAGAAGTTAAAAGACATGTCGCTCGCGACAGTTAACTTTTCCAATATCTTTTGATACCTGAGCGACATTGCGTTTTCTTTTCTCTGAAAACATAACTTCTGGCAATTAACCCAAAAACTTCCTCTTCACCTGTAAACCATTAAACATCATCAGATTTCGATCATTTTCAGTCGCGAAGTCGTTCATTTTTTAAAGAGATTACCGGACTTTCAGTTTTATGATCAGATAAGGAGAAAATCCCATTTCAGCAATGACCTACATTCGTGGTTAACCGACATTTTTACTCGTTTGCAATTTAATTTTCTAAAGCCAGGTTTGATCGCCTGGCGGCTTCGTTATCGTAAAACATCTTACCTTTCCCAGTGATTTTACAAGCGGCAGCTGGTCGCACAAAAATATAGCCGCGGTATCTTGCAGAAAGCGAAGTTCGCATTTCTTTCCGCCCTTGGATGAACATTTCCTTTTTTTGGTGGCAAAAATTCTGCGTTAAAACGAACGCACAGTCAACTAATTAATGAACATGCACTCGGCGTCTTTGGCGACAGGAAGTTAAAATTATAGTTCCTTTAACACTCAATCCCATGGGCTATGAACTGGAAGGTGCTCGCCTGATCAAGATATATCGAAAAAGTCATTCTAGCGATCATATAGCAGCTTACAACCGGCGAATCTTTGATGACTAGCTTCTTTTAATTAGCAGGGTATTTGCTCGGTGCAGATCTAATTAGCATCTATTTCTATGCGTCAGCTCCGAGTCAGTTTTTATTCTGGGAAACGTGCTTTTCGTGCGCCGAAAGCGTGAAAGAGCGAGAGCGTGCGCTGTGAAATCACGGTGTTCGCGCTAATAAAAACGCCCGCCCCGTTCTATCTGAAGCGACGCGTGCCGCATTAAGCTGGCTTTTCGGATCTTTTCTCGTCGCCTTTTTGTATTGCTTTTTTGTCTGCACATAATACAGAATCCTTGTGCCGGCTGTCACACGCCACCAAACAGGTGTGGGGCTCACTCAGATGGTAGGATAAGAATTGCAAAGTGTTATAGTCTTCTTGGCAGCTACACTTGCTTGTGCGTGAAATGTGCGTGAAATGTCATTTAATAGCGTTTAAACTGCCGGGCTTCCGTCTCAGCGATAACAAAGAATACTAGTATTCATAAAACAATACCACCAAACTTCAAAATTAATGGATAAGAGAAACGTTTGCTGAATAAAATATTTTTATGAATACGAATATTAAGTATTTTCATCGAGGTCGACTTTTTGGGGTACTCATTAGTTTACGACTAATCTCGCACCGGGAAAGCCTATTTCAGTTGAAAAGTTCAATCTATCGCTCTTCTTTTTAAAGGAAAACTACCAGACGTTTTAAAACAGCATTAAAAATTCTGAGAAAAGGTGTATGAATGGGTTTTCAACACAATACATTTTTCATGAATTTTATAAACAAACTGGTCTGAGCGAGGCGCCTGCTCGCTCAACCCAACCAGTTTGTAAAATGAGAAAAAGAGGTTGAGTGGGCTTACCTAAAGAGTCATCCATTTCCTTCTCAACGCTATATTTGAGATTGTTTTCAGTGTCCTGCGACTTTCTACAAGCAGACCCCATTTAGTACGAGGAAAAATCTGTGATCAAGTTGCATACAAAGTAACCGATGCCATTAGTTCTCGGAAAATCGGCTACAGCGAAACATTCAGTTTCATGGCCATCTGCTTGATAACGATAAAAAACAAAAACACAAATTTGACGTATCCTCGCTTGCCTTCTAGACGAGTTTTGAGTTCGCGTTTTTCGAACCGCCGATAAGACGTTTTCAATTAAGGTGGCTTTCTACGTAGGGAGCCTATCCAAGCGGTCAAGTTTGGCTGCTGGTTTTCCACGTTTTCACAGGAGACAGTTTTCCTTATGGGACGTTCACCGATCTCGGCGTGATATTTTGTCCACTCCGCGCGCTTTAAGCCACAAAAGGGAACAATTAGGAGCTGAATTGTTAATTAAGATGTTATTACGACATCTGAATGGTCAGATATTGCACTCTTTAGTTTTGGAGTTTTTTAGCTTGCTTTATTTTCTCTCATTAACGGTGTCAAATAAGGGAATCTTCTAAGTGCCATTCTACACACGTATAAAACACAGTTTTTACAGTTTCAAATGCTATGAAAGAGGCTAGCTGGATATTGCGGTCCATTGGAGTCCAATGCATGCATATCGCGATGAAAGGCTCGCTTACTATCAAACAAGTAATAAATTGAAGTCTATAAGCATGCTAAGAGCTCAGAATTGAAAATAATTATAACTAGACCCCTTCAAAGAAAAGTGAAAAAATTTTATTGTTTTTTTTATTAAATACGGGTAAGCCACTTTTTCGAAGGCTGCCCATATTTAACCTTGTCATTTTCATTATTTTCAAACGCCAGTAAATACTTCAGACTTTGATTGAATGCAAATTTTTATCGTTTCCTGGGGCTACGAAAGCGATTCAATAACAATCTTCAGCCCCTCATTAAAATTAAATGATTCCGTTTAAAATTCGGAGAAGGGTTTGAAACTAGTAATGGCCATAATTTTATCAGTCTAAAAATACCAATCGTTCATTTTTATACATTATATATTTACACGAATACAACTTATGGCACTTTTATTTTGCCTTGTTACTAGTTTTGTTTGCTATTAAGAAATCTGTATTGACGTTTATGGGTCCCACCAACAAACTGAGTATTTACTCAAACTGCCGGATATTTTTTCTTTTCATAGTTTCTATACCTGACATATGACATAATGTTGAGATTTATTCCAAACGACTGGCAACCGTTTGATTAACTAACTCATTAAAATTTTTGTGCGATTTATGGAACTGTTAAGCAACGTGGTTCAGCCCGTATGGCTAATTAATTTTTTTCGTCAAAACAAAAGGCCTCGTTTACCCTGCGTAGAAGGCGCTTGGAAGTAAATGGCCGCAGGAAAGAACGGAGTGCGCGAGAGACACACGCAAGGGGAGAGGGAACGATTTTCATAAGGGACGGACCATTACAAAACTTATCGGGAGGGGGGGCGGGCGAAGTACAAAAAAAATATTCCCGCAAGGGAAAATTTAATGAAAAAAAATTCATGCACGCCAATTAACCCTAAAAAATATTCATGCTATGGCCTAAAAAAAATTCATACAAAGAATTTGATAACGAAAAAAAATTCCTGCGGCTCGAAAATTCCCCTCCCCCACCCCCTATAACTTTTCTAATGGTCCGTCCCTAAGCCTCTTGGGCAGGCGCTCCCTCTCCCTCGCGCTCCCGTTCTTTCTTGCGTCCTTTACTTCCGATCGCCTGCCACGCAGGCTAGACCTCATTGAATTCAACTGTTGTGCTCCTGTGTATACCGTAAACTTCCGCTTATAAGCCCCGCAGTTATAGCCCCAACACCAAACAAAAAATACATTTGGTTATACCGTGGAAATAAGCCCCCTCTAGCTTGTATTGAAGAGAATTTGATCTGTTAAGACGCTTTGAAGCCTAAGAAAGTGCGTAAACAAAAAAAGTGTTTTGATCAGCACTGCTAGGTAGCTAGCCTTCTACACAGCCGTTTTTAGTGTCGTCACGCAACGCTCCTCGCTACTAGGGGAGGAGCGTTGCGTGACGACACTAAAAACGGCTGTGTAGCAGACTACTAGGTAGCTTGTTTTGAAACGAATATAAGCCCTACCTTTATAAGCCTTTCTAAAACTCCCAAGGAAGTTGTATACGCTAAGGGCTTATAAGACGAAGTTTACGGTATATCTGTTTGATTTGCTGGCTACATGTTGTACGAATTTTTGGCTGGATTGGGGGCCTCTAACTGTAAACTTAAACTTTCACATTATTTCAAAACATGATGACAAAGTCCAAATTTGGAAAAAGCGAGGAAAACTTCCAATAAATAACAGCAGTTACCACGAAACAGCAGCTAAGAAAAACCATGACTACCTTAACAAGTCATATGATACCGTCAAGGTTTCCAGCAGTTTTCTTCAAATGTTTGTTTCCCGTTAAACTGCGTATAATCTCTTCTCTTTCAGCAATGGTTATTTGTTTACTCTTAAGAAAACTTTTCGCCAATTTTTTTCGCTCATGCTGAGAAACGTACATGACGTAAACAACTTGTGAAAAGGTTGCAGTGTTGAGGAACTTTCACTATACTTGACTTACCTTGGCTAGACTGGTCACTAGCTACGAAGTTGTTCTGTTTTGCCAGTCACCTTGTTGATGCAAAGTGTCGTTCGCCAACCAAAAACAAGTCCACGAACAAATGTGCGGTTTTATGGCTTGTGCAAAGTGTTTAAATGCACGTGCAGTCTTAAACACACGTGCAAAACTTAAAAAGCACGTGTAAAGTGTTTACATGCACGTGAAATATGTTGTTTTGCTAATTTGGGAGTTTAAAAAAAACCTTTTTTTTTTTTGCTTATTAAAACTGTCCAAGACACGTACGAAAAAGTGTATCGTTTTCCTCTTTCAACCTGAGTGCCCAAATTTTGCGGAGATCGTTACTTCTAGCTTGGTCCAGTCTCCGCAAGTGAACTACAACTACCAAAAAGCTTTTCACCAGTGACGCAATCATGTGCATAGTCTGTTAGTCGTGGTTATAAATCAGGGTGGATATGTTACATATATCCTACTTGGTAAACACCTTTAGGAGAAATTCTGGTAAAGTTATCACCGTAGTGGCAATCAAGCTAGTTTCCCGCGGCACTTGCCACGTGCAGCGCGTACTTTACGCGGGAAATATGCCTACTGATTGGTTGTTTTATCGTACGAGTCAGTTGTCATGGTAGCTTCCTTTTAACTTTTTGACGTTTCCATGATTACTTTCCCAGGTAGATTAACCTTGCTGGGAACCTGGGCACTCACACACGCAGTTCCCAAGGGAAAAGGCCTTACATCTTAGGATAAAAGCAAGTGTAACCGCAACTATACACTGGCTGTGTCCATCCCCTGGGCTTTACAATTGGCTGAAAAATCTCTCGCCAGTTTCCCAACCAACAGACTGTTTTTCTTAAGAAAAAGACGAACTTTATTCACAACAGTTAACCATATACAAATCTATTGTAGCTATATACAGATAAATTCCACAATAATTATACAATCTCTCGTTCTCCCGTTTTTTAAACTATCGTTTCTTTGCTTCAACTAGACACAGCGCCTGCTGCTGAGGCCTGGGCACTAGTAACAGGCGGAAGAGCCGCAGGGAGGGAGGATGCGTCAACATCTTGTTGTGTTAGGAATGTGCTGTCTCCCTGGGTTCCCTGTGTTTGTCTTTCTGCACTTGGCAATGCTTTTGATTGGGAATCCGGGGGCACAGCCTCCAAAGATTGCACCTTTGGTCTACAAAGTAAAATTAAAAGATGTTGAGAAAATTCATTTCTGTGACTGCTCGATTTTGTTCCTTTAGCAAGAAACTTTACTTTGCGTTGCATTTCTCTTACTGGGGAGCTTCAGCAAACACAACGACGAAACCTACTTTTGAAATGACTCCTGGATTCAAACCTTTCACAATAATAAAACCGTGCAAAAGTCGCACAGAATTGTTTATTATAAATTGAAATTTGTGCTCAAGAGCGGGTGAAAACGCCTTTACTCATTCCATTCATTCATAAAGCATATGCATACAAACAAAGCAAAAAAATATATATCATACCTTCTTTTTTCCTTAAAACCATTCATTTTTGCGAACAACATTCTCAATATACGTTCGCGTTGTTCCCAGGTCAGCTCGGCCATGTCGACTTTTCCTTGGATTCCAGTCCACCGCTCGGCCTCTTTAAGGTCGTCAAAAACGTTGTTTGTGCTGCTGTCTAATTGGCGGAAAGTTCTGACGCGCGGGAAATCGCCGTGGCCAGCGTGTGCTTCGAGCATGCGCTGTTGGTAGGCGTGTTGAGCATCTTTTCGATATTGTATTCTATAAAAAATGTCACATTGCTACCTTACTGAAAGTTATAAAGGCTTTTTCTATTTAAACCCTTCAAAACTGACGCGCACGAGTAAATTTCAAAAGTACATAGACGAATTCGTAACCTGTAGCCATTTGGGTGAAAGCTGAGCATCACTTTCGTATGGTACTCTCGATTACGCGGTACAAGGTGGTTCTAACCTTTGAGTCTGTGGATGAAATCCTATGATGCGACCATTCAAATGAAAGCTACTGAGCAATACTTTCCTGTGGTACTGTTTATTATGCTGTACAATGTGGTTCCAACTTTTGAGTCTGTGGATGAAATCCTATGGTGCGACCATTCAAATGAAAGCTACTGAGCAGTACTTTCCTGTGGTACTGTTTATTATGCTGTACAAGGTGGTTCTAACTTTTGAGTCTGTGGATGAAATCCTATGGTGTGACCATTCAAATGACAGCTACTGAGCAGTACTTTCCTGTGGTACTGTTTATTATGCTGTACAAGGTGGTTCTAACTTTTGAATCTGTGGATGAGATATTAAAGTGGTATCACTACCCCAAATTAAAGCTGCGGGCCATACTCTCTCTGTAGGCGCCATTTCTATTTTTTGTGTAACCCCTGGACACAAATTCGCAGAAATTCATTGCACAATGAGCACACTTATGTAATAACTGACTGTACCTATTCCGAACGATCTCATTCTTGACATATTCCAGCGACTCCAAGAAAAACTGTTCCACTTCCGTTCTCTAACAAACAAGAGCACAATACACATGGTAAGGTACATGGCATCACCACCACCAAAAAAAAAATACAGTTAAACCTCTCTACAACGATCACCTCGGGGACAGAAGAAAGTTCCGGTTGTAGAGAGTTTTAAACAGGAGTCAATGTATTGTCTTGTCCGCCAAAAAAGTGGCCGTTGTAGGAGGTTCGATTGTACCCTGCGAACAGAGGCTACTTTTTTGCGGTATAGTAGCCTGCGTAGCATGGCGGTTTTGTCGGGAGCACGACTGGAGTGGCGAAGCCGCAAAAAGGCGCGTAAATAAAAAAGTTCAAGTTCAAGTTGCTCCCGCCCCAATCTCCTCGCGGTTTCTCTGCCCTTGCCCGCTTTTATTATTTAGCGCGCCATTAGCGCGCCCAACCAAAACCGCCAGGCTACGCAGGCTAGCGGTATAGGGGAATCTTTGTTTACATGTTTTGCATCATTAACATATGTTTATCATTGGCGGATGACGCTAATGAATTAAATCTCTGAATATTGAAAAGCATAAAAATTTCAGTTATCTCTGAAAATTTGAGCCCGATATAGCGAACAGTTTCGGAGAGATCTTCTTTGAAAAACCCGAAAATTTACAAAGAATGTATGAGCTCATTAACGTTTTTACGACCCAGCAATTTCGCAGTTTTTGATTCCTGTTATTTCCTTTGATATTGCTCGTAAAGAGCTGAAAATTTCCCGGCTAGATAGGCCTCTTCTTACGGTATTCGGCGGGCGGAAGAAAAATTTCCTCCCGCCCACCGAATACCTTGAAAAGAGGCCTTTCTACTAGCAGGGAAGCTGTAAATTAAACGAACTATTAAAAAAAAAACCTAACTTGTACCCTATTCCTATCAGTAACTTCACGTCCAATTCTCTGTTTTGTTCCAGTTTTTCATAGTTTTCCCCGTTCTCCGTTCCTCGTTTTACTAACATCCCATTTACTATCAGGCATTAGCCAGTTTCCTCACGTGATTTACGAGCGTAATAGCGCGTACTTACCTGATCCAGAATAGTCTTGGCCAGTCGCTTGACTCGATTCATCTCCCTTGTTTTTAACTCAACTACTCTCTGTAACCGTGCTATCTCAGCTCTAAAACAAGTTCAAAAGTGATACAGAACACTCAGTGTGAAACTCACAAAACCGGGAACACCAGAAATATTTATGGAATTTTATTGTCTTGCGAGGAAAATATGGATAAGGCGTAAGAAATCTAAACCGCAAACAGCAATTGTAATTAGTTTGTGGTTTTATGGCTTAAAACGTTTGGCCTTATACTGGTTTAGCTACCTATCAAAATCGCTATGTTCGAGTACGCTACCTAGATATTGGGCTCGCTACCTATTGTCAAAGTCCAAAACTTGCACCTTCGGAGGGGCAAGCGTAAAAGAACGACAAATAATGATATTCAAAGGATTTTTTTCTAGTGGTATTAAGGAAATATTTCTAATGGTTTACAGGAGGTGATATAGAGCGAAAAGGCAGTGAACTCGAACGTAGGGAACTCGACAAAAAGCGAAACCGGCTGTTAGCAAAATTTTTAAGTTACCACTATTTTCTTTACCCTAGGTACCAGAGATTTTCCTTCGGGTCCGGCGGGATGCTTCGGTGTCGGTCGCAGGCCGAGAGATTGTCGGCCGAAGGCCGATGTCACGAGCGGCACCCGAAACAGGAAACCGCGCATGAAAAGTCTTAAATAGAATGTTCACAGACCTGCTGTTCCGCGTGTCATCTTCGGCTTTCCGCACCAGGGCAGCTCGTTCAGTCTCGAATTCACGCACCACGTGACTAAGGGACATCTCCAAGGTCTTGACTTTGTCATTAAGCTATTTATAGAAAATACAGAGTGGTGACGAAGTGATGAATATACGAATTTCATATATTGGAACCGCGAAATGAAGGACATGAAGAAATAGATGAAAAGAAGATCATCGCAGTTAAAGACCCAACTTATGTAGTTGCGAAAAAAAGGCTTGAAAAAAATTCAGGTTTGCGGGATTCACACCTTGAGATCTACAATGCCGGTGCGGCGCTCTAGCCAAAGCCACCTTAAGTCTGAACGGATATTATCGCATGGCGCCGATGCTGGTGGTATCGGAAGCAACCATTGTCACCCGAAGGTTTATGTCGTAGGAAAGCGAAGCAGAGTTTTTTTACCCTAAATAGAACCAGCGACGCACGTTAACCGGAAGTGGACTTTTTGCATTCTCGGAAAGTGGGAAAAAGAGTCACTTCCGCTTTACGTGTGTCAATCAAAAACCTCTCTACTTAAGCTCCCTAATAGGGAACAAATCTATACGTAGGTTAATACTATTTCTACATCTTAAAAGCTAAAAAACAAATTAAGACACACACCTCAGTAATTTCTTTCTTCTGATGTTTACTTTCTACGATCTTTTCTTGCACTATCATGCCGTTTAATTCCTTTTGAAGAGAACACAAAAACAACAACAATGAGAACAACAGCGTATAAACAACAGCGTAAATGCATGAAAGTCAAAAAATGAACATTATCTGAGTGTCAATGTATTTAGTTGGAAAATACTTATTGATAAAATGGGGAACGTATTTCTTGGTCTCCAACTGGAGACAAAAGAAAACCACCATTTTACGCGGGCATCCGAGCCACGCAAAGGTTGCAGTGCAAAGGTAGTACCTTCATTTCTCAGTTATTTCAATACCCTGAGTATTGGTCTGACCCTGGGAATCGAACAGAGCTTTCGTTTCTATGGCAGAAGCTTCATCGCCTTGAGGTTTCGTGGAGAATAAAACATTTCTTTCGTTTTATTTTCTCAAGCCTAGTTGCCAAGTATGAATTTACTATATCATTAATCAAAATTATTGAATTGTTGATAATCAAACTTAGTTGAAATCATTTTAACCGTAATTTTATTTTAAACTACAACACATATTTCTTTTTACGATTTTGGTGATGACGTCCTTAGAAGGACTGTAAGTTGTTGTTCACAAAAAGAGCCTACAATGTGCACGTACTATTCTACGTTTGCAACCACGTGACAAGGCGGCCAAGTTGGGGGTCAAAACAAGAGAATTTTTTCTCGAAGAAATACGTGAAAATAGTGTTTGGTTCCTAGAAGAGAGAAATGCTTTGGTTCTTGACTACCAATTCCATGGCCGCGCTGTTGTCACGTGCAAACCAGCAATAAGGGATGCCACGAAGTCTAGCATTTGCATGGTAATAATTATAGATAAGCTTGCATCCATTTTCATGAACTGATTGAACGCGAGCGGTTTTAACTCCAACAAAAAACGTACCTTTTCAGCCAACAGGTCAGTCGTCTTCTTATCCAAGCTTTCTTTATCCTTTCAGTAAGCAAAAAAGACGGAACAGAATTTGTTATAGTTTGAAAGTTCTCTTTTATAACTACGTTATTAAATAGAAGACCTTTTTCTCTTACCTGGTGAGAGACACGATCATTTTATTTTTCCCCCATAAATGACCGATATTCCAAGTACAAATTTCAACCAAAGTTGAAAGTTGTCAAATACACACAGTCTACTTTCGTGTATTTTCTCGAGTATTTTGGCGTGTACTGTTTAACACGCGTGTTTCTCGCGTATTTTGCGAGTGTAATTTGCGTGCAATATGGCGGATTTCCACCCGAAAAACGCGGGTGTAATGCTGCAATTCCCGCGGCCTCACCCTGTACTGTAGGATTGAACTTTAATTATTTTGGAGACGTGTCTGCACTTCAGACTGTTCTTTAGTAGTAACGATACGATCGTGTGTTAATTTTCATTGGCTGACTTACACTGTAACATACTTTTCACCAGCTTTAACCTGCTTTAATGTACAGCATTATTTTGTGCTAGCTCTTGAAAGGTGGGTAAATTTTACACAAGGGAAGACTACCGGGATTGGAGTTCTCAGCGAAGAATACGTTACAATGTAGCAACAAACATACCTTTTTCAATTCTTGCCCTTCTCTTAAGTGAAAATCTAGCGCAGCATTAAGTCTCACATTCTCTTTGTAAACAGACCTTGTTGTTTCATCCAAATTGCTACCAAAAATAAGTGAAAAGAAGGAAGGAATGTGAACACCAAGGAAAATGGCAGTATTATGAGATGACATCTTGACTCTGATCCCATGGAGTATATCAAAATTAATCTTTGACATTCTCTGTCACTATTTCTATGAAAGGAAACCTTACGCAATTATCTTTCTGCAGTACACTGAAATTGTGCCTACATGCACAAATTTGTGGCACTGACTCAAAAGCATTCTACTCTTTGCAGGATCAATTATTTCTAAGCCTAATCATCTTTTCTCCCTACTTAATACCAATCCTCTGGGTAAAAGAAAGAGACTTCATGTACCTTATTGCTTCGGAGTGTGCTCTTTCTGCAAGTTCTGCAATCTTTTTACTTGCCTCCTGCTGTAACCGGACCTAAAGACAAAAATGTGTAAATTGAAAGAGCGGTTTCTAACTAAACAAATTATCCACCTACAGAAAGGAAAAAAGAGAAAACTGCTTTTTGTTTGTGTGACTTGATGCTGTTTGCTTTTGTGTGTGCGTATATCAGTATTAACTTCGTTATCACTACCAGTTGACCATAATTTTAAACAAGCCTCAGTATTACACATGTTTCACAGCCTGTACTCCAATGTAAAATGTTGGTTTATTTTTCATTGACAGGTGTTTTGATAATTAGGACAAAGCACATAATCACTATAGATCACAACTTATCAAAAACAATCCATTATTATTTACCAAAACATTACAAGTTACATACATTGTACGTTCAACTGCATGAAATTATACCATTACCTTTTCTTCAAAAAATTTGTGTTCCATTTGTTGCAATGTGTCCTTGTGGTGTCTCTCAGTAGCAACCATGCTTTCCTTTATCTGCAATAAAACATGCCGTAATTTAAATATTTTCGTAGAACAAATATTTTTGATAAAAATTTACATAAAAGTTGTGTATGAGTGAGCAATATGCTTTTTCAATCACAACTACAAGTAAAGTAAAGTCAAATATTATAATTCTTAAGAATTATACCTCATCCAGCTCCCGCTGCATTTGTGCTCTCTTTCTCCTGAATTCCTTGACAAGTTTCAGCTCAGATTGCATGAGTTTGACCTGAGAAGTATTGTTATACACATAAATTTATCAACAGATACGGCCACGTACAACAATAATGTGTAAATTGCAACCCTAATGTCTTGACTCAGGTTCTGTGGAAATTCTAGTATATTTTCTTAAAGTGTGGTGTCAGTGACCCATGACCACAAAGAATTTTGATAGATGAGTCTGCATTGTTTTTGGGAGATGCCCTCAAATGACACACCTTGATAATAGTTTTTGAGTAGTTTCATGAAAAACAAATGAAGACAACAGTGTTTGCATTACATGTACATGAATGTGATCACAGGTGGAAATTTCAGAAAACTTATATAAAAAATCATTATGATACATTATTTACCTCATTTGTCTTTTCAGCAAGGGATTCTTGAAGCTGATGAATCTGTTGAGAATACTCATCCACCTAAATGTAACAACATTTATATTTGTTAATAATTTAATGCAAGAGAAGCAATTTATACATTATGCCACACTACCTACAGTGTGAAGGTATTGCAAAGGAAATTAATGCTAATATGCATGATACTGAATTGTTTCTGGAGGATTCTCCAAGATTTCTCAAGGTACATTATTCATAGATGACAAGAGCACTCAGTGTAACCACTGTACACAGAACTGTCCACCTAGCTACCCCTTCCCTAAGCAAACATATTTTTGCCCTAAGTGAGAAGTAATGTTCGCTTAGAGGAGGGGTAGATGGGCAGTTTCCCAGAAGCCTAAATTGATCCATATTTCCTACAGATGCACACCACTGAGAAGTAAGATAGAAATGACAATTCAATACTCCCAGCAAAATTAGTATTCACAGCACCTTTTGATTGATGTAATAAGAGTTACTGTTACATAGAAATAAGTAAAAACACACTCACAAGAGCTTGTCGTTCTTTCCTAGCCTCCCTCTTCACTTCTTTAAGAGCTTGTTGAAGCTTAGACACCTACATGTATTAAGACAATGCAAAAATAAAAATAAAAATGATTATTAGTTAACAGTATTAAATACTTAACAAAATTAAGGAGAAGAATAGTTTTATTATTAAAAATGTAAAAAATATCCATATCATTGAAAAGAAAAGGGAAAAGAGAGTGACTCTCTCCTTTTTTGGCATCTCCTGGAATGAGAGAGTGACAGGAAGAAGAGAGAGCTGGACAACACTACTGAAGTGTCTGCATTACAGAAGACCAAGGGATATATACAGTGTATGTTTAATCCTTCATTAAGCCCTATAAGAGTGACCAGCATCAAATTTTCCTTGTAATGTCAATGCTTTGTAAGACAAAGTGGTCATGAGAATTACAGCGATGATCACACAAGATGAATTTGCCTGATATTTTATCAACTTCTCCCAACTACTTCTGTAGGAAATAAATAGGGGTAAAAAAGGAGAAATCAAATTTTGATCTTATGGTTTAAAGGGTTAAAGACTGATAACCTCTGGCCATAAGGATAAGTTCCACAGTCTTATTATGCGACTGACAAGCACATGTGTAATATTTATGACAGACCTGCTCATCTTTCTTCGCATCTTCTTGCTTCAGGTATGATATCACATCAAGGGTATCTCGCTCAGTGCTTGACATCTGCATTTGCAACATGTCATTCTCGTATACCAACCGTTTGGCATTGTCTCTGATGATATCAAAAGGAGACCAGTTTACCAAAATGTTACTGACATACATTTAATATACAACCTATCAGGAGTCCAAATAAAAGTCCCACCTGGTAGTCCAGGACAATGAACTTCAATCCCTCTCATTCAGGCAAGTCCCATTATTATGGACTCCCTCAGGAAGTTGACTTACTGTCTTTAACAGCGAGAGTCCTTAATGATGGGGCTTTGTCTTAGTCAACCGTCTCTGTTTTATTTTCACTAGGGATTTAGGGTCTGTCTCTATAATCAGGGTCAGGAAGGTGTTTTTTAGAGAAGAGTTGACTGTAATCACTGGCCCAATAGGGAAGTTTTACAAAATGTAGTTCTTCTTACACAATTTTATTATGCAATCAGTGCCTTGACATGCCAGTGAACATTTTTCAGCTACAAGTACATGTCCGATGGCAGAGCAGGAGTTCAAATTTCTTTCCAAGTCCTGCTTATTATATTTGTACCGGAACTATAGTGAGTTTATGCAGCAGGATGGCAGAAAGATGAGGACGGCAAACTCTCGTGTGTGACAAATGTGACAGGACTATTACTTGCATGTTTTGTCGTGTTCATCACTTAACAATGTCTTCTGGTCTTATTACCAAAACTCCTGTTTAAAGAATGGTGAAATTTGGCAGAAAGTTTGTTCAAACAAAATTACTGTCATGTTTGTCACACCAGGTCTACCATCTTCTTTCCTCTCCCACTGTGTTGTGTTAGTTCACCGATATCTAAGTGATTGGCTTCAAAGAACGTGCAACTTAAGCTCAACTAACCTGTACTCCTGACGGGATTTCTCCACAGCTTCCAACTTAGTCTCCCACAACTTTGCATTCGCTATAGCATCCTTGAGAACAGATTCCTTCTTGGCCTTTTTCCCCTCCTTTTTCCCTTTTTTCCTATATTATGGCCAAGGGAAACAATTTAAGCATTACACTTCCATAAAAACTCTTAGTGCATAGTGCGCATTATTTAGAGGGATGGATGCCCCATTTGGCTATAAAATAGATTGCGAAAACTCGCGTACTTTGATAATTTCGCACTTTCAGGGCTCAAAGGGCTCATCATTTTCACATTTTAAGGAAAATAGTTTTAAATAATACAAACAGAAATGTAAATAAGACAGCCATAAGAATCTTTAAAGGTGGTTTAAGCAGACTAGACTGCGGGACTGCGCAAACCAGTGCTAGACCTGTCGGTTATTTTATTTGATGAAAAAGTACTCAGATGTAACTAAACTTACCCTCCTTTCTTGCCTTTCCCTCCTCCTTTAGCTTTCTTCCCCTTTTTAGGCATTTTACTTCAAGCAAAACCGTGCAGCCGGCGTCGATAGCAGCGGTGAACTGACTACTGGAATATACCTCAAAATGGCCGACTCTTCTGTGGTTTCGTTTCCAAGCAACGTTTGTTTATGTCTTGACGTTCTGTACAAATAGGCACTTACGAGGGTAGGGAAGGTGATCGAAAGGAAGTTTTTTTGAAAAACGTCAGTCTTTGAATCTTTTTATGATAGCCAAATTATTTTAGCTACTCATCCTACGAAAACAATCTTTTTTTGCGAGTTTTTCAGTCACCGACGAGGCTCTCCAATTAATTTACAATGTTAGGACGTTTAGCCACCCTTCCCATAAGAAAAAAATTATTGCCTCGATATGAAGTACCAAGTGAGCCAAGCGTCATGGGTAGGGGCAGGATTTTTGCGCAAGTAAAATTAAACCTCGAGATGGCCTCTCTCGTGCTTCTGTTTTCTTCATTTTGCCATAAAATATTATTATTTTTTCCTTCTAAAAGTCACATTTTTGCTGTTGAAGTGACCATTAAACGCTCAATTACGAAAAATAGATGAGAACATTAAAATTAAACTACCCCTTCCATGATATAATTTTCTACTCTCCCGAGTAGGGTCTTTTGCGTGGGCACCAGTTGGGCACCAGCGTCCTGCGGTTCACTTCTAAAAACAGAAACATTACGTATTGAACATGGCGGATTGAACAGCTCAAAAAGATGGGTTGGTATATTTAGGTCTGATCTGAGCGCTTACATCGCTATTTTCACAATTTAGAGTGAGCTAAAGGTTGCTTTATTTTTTCTCTCTCGACATGCTTGGCTCAGGGTTCAACAAGCAAAAACTCAAGGTGAATTTGAAGTTGGCTATCAACCGACTAAAACTGTTGGAGAAGAAAAAGAGTAAGCCTTCAGTTATTTCGTAATCTATATAAGCTCTATCTATCTGTGCATTTTTAGAACTTCAAGAAGTACAAATTTTGCATGTCAGTGTTTGATAAATCAAAGACGTTTTTAAACAATTCGCACTATTGGGTGACAGAGAAAAGTGCTTCCAGGTTTGTCTAAATTCTACCACTTTGCAAGGATGTTTATAGCGTGGCTATACAGTTTTCGTACTGATTTTTATACACAGCTGAACTAGCTCAAAAAGCAAGGAAAGAAATTGCTGACTACATCAACAATGGGAAAGATGAACGGGCAAGAATTAGAGTGAGTACAAGCGTGTGTCCGTGATTTAACCTTTACATAATTCCTTAAAAATAAATAACCTTTAGCTATGTGACCTTGTGATAGGTAAGTCTAGCATATTCTATGTAGCGCATTATAGAAAATTACTAGTGAAGTCATCAGATTGTGTTTTGTGCCGAAAGTCACGCATAACTCATAACCAATTTGTCATATTTGCACTTTGTTGCACAATTAAAGAAAACCTCCAATGCAATATCTAACCATGTTTAATGATCCTGTACAAATAATAATATTTACATAAAAACGTATTCCTCAAGATGAACATGATCTGTTTATTTCCAAGAATGCCAAATGTAAAAAAAAAATATACAAAGTAGAATCATTTTACTATTTGTGTCAATTGCTGTATTGCTACATAACAAAGTTTATGTACTCATTCTACAAGTGACATGTCTTTCAATGATGTAACCGACATAATTACAAGACAAGTGGTTGGGAAGTGAAGTTGTATGACAGGATTTTAGGTTTTCCTTGTCTTCAAATATTAAAGGATTGTGTTCAAAAGTGATAAAAAAGGGATTTTTAATGTTTGATTCACCTCGTGTATGGTGATTATTAGGTGGAACACATTATTCGTGAAGATTATCTAGTAGAAGCAATGGAGATGTTGGAACTTTACTGTGATTTGTTGTTGGCCCGATTTGGCTTGATAGAAACACAGCAGTGAGTACAATACTGTAGATTTAAAACCTAATTATTATGCAATACATCACAATATTCAACCATATATGTTAGAGGTCAAAAATAAATTGAGGTTAAGATTTTTTGATCTAGATTGTTTCTCAATTTTCTTTGTCTCCTAGCCTTTATTATTCATGAATTAGGGCTAAGAGACAAAGTAAACTGAGAATCACACTAGCGTAAAATTCCAAAAAAAGCCCCTCTATGTATAAGCCCCTTCAAATATAAGCCCCCCAAACCGGTAACGCAAAAAACCCTCCGTTAAATCGCCCCTCTAAATATAAGCCCCCCGGGGCCTTGTACTTGGAAAATTGGCCTCAAATACAAAGTAAAACCAAGCCAAAATGGTAAATTTCCTTCCAACTATAAGGCTAGCCCAATCGATTTTGAAATACAAATTTCCCTCCATGGATAAACCCCTCCAAAAATAAGCCCCTCAAAAAGGGCCTTTGAAATATATAAGCCACGGAGCTTATTTTCAGAATTTTACGGCAGGCTAACAAATTTTAATCTGAAATTAATTTTGACCTGTAACATTAGGCACCAGTTGTTCAAAAAGTTGGATAGTGGTATCCACCAGATAGATAACTGTGCAGTGGATAAGTACGAGGATAATCATTTTTTTTATTATGTCCAGTATTAGCTAGTGATTTATCCAGCAAAAAGTGAGATTCACCTTTTGAACAACTAGGATATGTTCCACGTATATGGGTTGGGGAGGGGTTTTAACCCTTTCACTGCCAAATGAAGCCTAAGGCAAATTTCGAGTATGTTTGCAATTTCATTTTGTGAAATTTTGAAAAACAAATAGCACCATGTTTAAGTACAGGCAGAGAGCTTTCATTTGAATGGTCACATCATAGGATTTGGTCTGCAGACTCAAAAGTTAGAGTCACCTTACAAACTCCATCGAGCACTCTGGCAGTGAAAGGGTTAAGGATTATGATTGTTCTGGATTTGCTGTTATCCTCAGCAGGACATTTGTCAATGAGCTTCTAAAATAATTATGATATATCTATAATGTTCAAAGGCATTTCTTCGTGTAATTTCCATGATGAATTATTAAATGTCGTTCAAATGTGAAAAATGCTTAATAGATACTGCGAGGAAGGAATGATCGAGGCAGTAACAACTTTAATGTGGTCAGCACCACGTCTACAAACTGATGTTCAAGAACTGAGAGTGGTAAGCCTGTGCACAAATATTATTTTGTTTTTGTCATATGTTGGCTTGTGCTTGTCTGTGTTTGATAAATGTTTTATAAACTTGACATTTAGCATTTTAACACCATTTATTTTCTTTTTCAAATAGATTGCTGATCAACTAGGATTAAAGTATGGTAAAAAATTTGCTCACGAAGCTAGCATCAATGCAAATTCCACTGTCAATGATAGAGTAAGCAGCCTTTTCTAAAATTCTTTTAGTTCTACTGCATAAATGCAACACCATCATAATGAATGATAATTTTTTCCTGTCCCTTGGCACTCCATTATATTTGGGCGTCTGTCCTTTATGGTTACCATGGAAATATCATTTGTTCTCGGACAATCATTGGAATGAGTTGTGGACATATTTAATGTGTTTTTGTTTACAAGTCATTATGAAATAAATGCATTGAAAATTGCATAAATATTTTAGACTTATGCACCCCACCAATTCTAAGAAGAGATAGAATTTCATATCAGTGTAAACATAAATTAAATAATGTTATTAAAAAGTAATATAAATATGCTCATATTTTTTTTTCTTTTTGTTTGCTTGTTAGCTTATCCTCAAGCTAAGTCCTAAGCCTCCACCAAAGAGTTTAGTGGAGAATTACTTAATAGAGANGTGAAATTTTGAAAAACAAATAGCACCATGTTTAAGTACAGGCAGAGAGCTTTCATTTGAATGGTCACATCATAGGATTTGGTCTGCAGACTCAAAAGTTAGAGTCACCTTACAAACTCCATCGAGCACTCTGGCAGTGAAAGGGTTAAGGATTATGATTCTTCTTCTTTTATGATTGTTCTGGATTTGCTGTTATCCTCAGCAGGACATTTGTCAATGAGCTTCTAAAATAATTATGATATATCTATAATGTTCAAAGGCATTTCTTCGTGTAATTTCCATGATGAATTATTGAATGTCATTCAAATGTAAAAAATGCTTAATAGATACTGCGAGGAAGGAATGATCGAGGCAGTAACAACTTTAATGTGGTCAGCACCACGTCTACAAACTGATGTTCAAGAACTGAGAGTGGTAAGCCTGTGCACAAATATTATTTTGTTTTTGTCATATGTTGGCTTGTGCTTGTCTGTGTTTGATAAATGTTTTATAAACTTGACATTTAGCATTTTAACACCATTTATTTTCTTTTTCAAATAGATTGCTGATCAACTAGGATTAAAGTATGGTAAAAAATTTGCTCACGAAGCTAGCATCAATGCAAATTCCACTGTCAATGATAGAGTAAGCAGCCTTTTCTAAAATTCTTTTAGTTCTACTGCATAAATGGAACACCATCATAATGAATGATAATTTTTTCCTGTCCCTTGGCACTCCATTATATTTGGGCTTCTCTCCTTTATAATGGTTACCATGGAAATATCATTTGTTCTCGAACAATCATTGGAATGAGTTGTGGAAATATTTAATGTGTTTTTGTCTACAAGTCATTATGAAATAAATGCATTGAAAATTGCATAAATATTTTAGACTTATGCACCCCACCAATTCTAAGAAGAGATAGAATTTCATATCAGTGTAAACATAAATTAAATAATGTTATTAAAAAGTAATATAAATATGTTCATATTTTTTTTTCTTTTTGTTTGCTTGTTAGCTTATCCTCAAGCTAAGTCCTAAGCCTCCACCAAAGAGTTTAGTGGAGAATTACTTAATAGAGATTGCACGCAGCCATAATGTAGCATTTGAGCCTGATCGTACTGTTTTTTTGGAGGTAGGTAATGCCACATATAGACTGCCTTATGAAATAACCCCCAACCAATCAATGATCAATTATAATCAGAAAATCTCTTTATAAAAATGTCATATATTTGTAACTTTGCGCAAGTCAGAGTACATGTATATTTTTTTATACAAATGTGTTGAGTTTTTTATCAGTGGACCACTTAGTTGGGCTTAGAATTTTCTCTGTGCTTTTGGGTGGTTGGATTGAGGCCATTAAACGACACAAGTTTTTGATATGTTTATTTTCTAACAAGAAATTTTATTTTTTTCCTGACAAATGTAATAGTGACAAACAGCACAAAGATGGGTTGAAAATGCGACAATGATGAAGAAAAGCGGAAAAAGAATGGTGAAATGCTGACGTGGACATGGCTTCCCCCTTAACCCTTTAAGTCCCAATAGTGACAAAGATCAATTTTCTCTTAACAATATCCATACACTGTCAAGAGATAAGTTGTGAGAATTAATAAAATGATCACCCAGGAGAAAATGCTTGATCTATTATCAAATTCTCACAACTAATTCTGTAAGGAAATGTATGGAGATCAGTTTGGAGAATTTCTATGTGGATACCGGGGCTTAAAGGGTTAAGACATGAGACAACAGGTTTTGACTTTCTGATTAGACATTCCCACACAATCTAATAGGGCTAAGGCTAATGAGCCTGTCCTTTTTTATAAGCTGAATGTTGCAGAAACCGAAACTTTTGACTCGGAGCTTGATAGCCATACAATGTATGCACCTTCTGGAGCAAAGAGCAATGATATACACATGTGGACACACCACAAAATATTCCGCAATGTCTCGTGCTGAGTGTCTTCAAATAAGTGTCACCCCCAATTCTGTGTCAGACTTAAAAAGTAACATGGCCTCATTTATTGGCCACATTACTATTTGATGAATAATCTGAAGGGGACTATCTTTTCTTCATCTTCTTAAAATCACAATATTTTTTTAATATTAAAGATGATGTAAAAATGATCAGCACATATTCATTCTCTTGGTAATTTCTTGCTTAGGAGGATGATTTACCAGAGTACGATGAACCTGGCCCCCCAAAGGGCAATGGTTTTGGTGGTAGTGGCAGTGGCGGTGGAGGTGGTGGTACCGGTCGCATTGGTTTTGAGGGGATTGCAGCAGGTTATGATGCACCCAGTATATCAAACCCCCAATATGCTTCGCTAAATTATCCACCATCACATGTAAGTTTTTCTTAAAGTGTATGGCCAGAATTGTTTGAATTTGCTGTTTATTATTCACCCAGAAATCATGGACTGGTTGCATAAAGGCAACTTAAGATTAAGTGGGAATTGTTTACAACCACTCTTTAGTTCTGAAGGATCTCTCTTTGTGTTTTCTATGCTGGTTAATCATCTTTTGCTCAATTCATTTGTGTTATAGTGCAAGCAAATCCTCCATAACTAAGGAAATGGTCGCAGAAAATTCCCTGAGTGTCTTTGAACTCACCACCAACAACAACTCTGCAAGCAAACCAGTCTGTTGGTAAAATCAACTAATTATTGATATTTATTGTTCACTTTACAGGGAAGTGCACCACCTTACCCAGTGGGTCCCCCAGGGAATGCACCACCCTCCTACCCTGAGAAGGTTTTGCCACCCTACCCAGGAGGCCCTGTCAATAACCACAGCCCTACAGCTCCACCAGCAGGTGAAAATATTTCCAATAATTTTATTGAAAACTTTAAACCTGCCAGTTATTAACTTATGCTACCGTTGGTTGCATCTAAGTGTGTACATGTGACGAAAAAAAAAAATCTAATTGGATGAAAACAAGACATGTTACTGTGCTTTTCACAAATATGCGAACTCTAAAGTTCAAAAGCCGCCTTCACAATTGCGTTTTTCACTGCCATCAATCATAATTACGATCACAAGTAACGAACCTTGAAACACACAAACACACAAAATGGATCGAAATCCACCAATCACAAATCACAAACCATGACCTTTTGAACCCGTTAAAGTAAAGTTTTGTTTCCTGAGAGGTCCGTTAAGATGACTGACGGCAGCGAAAAACGCTATTGTGAAGACGGCGTTTGAACTTCAGAATTCGCATGGTTGTGAAAAGCGCAGTAATTGCCGCCAAACTGTTGAAGTTTGGGGTGGCATTAGACGAATGTTCAATGTAAAGTAGGTAGCTGTTTGTTGACTTGATTTGTTTTTGTTCAACAAAATATTCATTGCAAGGCTTTTAGAAGAATTCATGGAGTTGTAAAACTTGAAAGAATAATTCTTAAAAGCAAGTGTGATGTATGTGAGTGAGAAATACCCTGGTATTACTGAAAATTGAGAAAAATAAAAGATGTGTGGATTACCCTGATCAAAAACATGTTATTAACTTAACCTTTGGCTTGACAGTTTGTTTTAATGGCTGTCAATTTCAAATGTTTGCCGACAAAACACGTCATGTCTGACACCCTATAATCTATTAGAACATGTTTTTTGTCTTGTGTCCATGCTTAGATGCAACCAGCAGTATTTTGCATAGTTACCTATGATATGACCTTTGGTAAACTTAAGCATTGTTTTACCTATGTTACTTTATTCAAGGTTGGTTTTTGCCATCCTTTTCCCTTTGTAAGACATCAACATGACACTTGGTTTTTGCTCCTCTCTGGTTCATGTGATGTAGGGGTGATTTTCTGGGTGTATGGGCAAGGTTTTAGCCAGAAGGGTGTCCAGCCATCCTATGGATGGCTATTTTTGGAAGAAATAACAAGGAAACTTCACTTAATCTCTTATAATTTTAATGGGAAAACATGCCTTCTCGATGGCCAGTTTTCAATGTCTGGCTAAAGAATGTGTGTGGGAAATGCTACAGCTGAAAGTTCACCCTGCTTTGTTGTTATGCCATACTAAACAGAACAAAACAGATGTGTTATACATGTTCAACTCTACCCTGTTCTGTCTGTGTCATTGCATAGTTGCACTATTCTACATAGTATATTTAGCATCTTAATACTTTCTTTCTCATTTCCCATTTTATTCTAGGACCTCAAAAGCCCTCCGCGCCCACCGCACCCACTCCAGCGCCTCGCTCGTCAAAAGGACCTAGTTTTCCGGACCTTCCATCAGTACCAACAGACCTACCAAACATACCCGACAGCTTGCCAGCGGCAAATAGTGCTGGTGGGGAGGATGTAGACTTTGATGATCTCACCAGAAGATTTGAGGATCTCAAAAAGAAAAAGTAGCTCTAGGCAGATTTTTTTTACTGAAAAACACCGGTAAATGTAATGTTGTTGTTACTGTTGTTAATTGTAGCTTTAGCTTTTTCAGATAAACATTTTCCAAAGAGGCTTTTCTGCTGTCTGTTTTTCAGCTTTTCAGGTAGCTGTAGACCGCAGGGGTGGGGTGTAGCCATGGGCCCGGGGGGGTGGGGTACTTCTTGGTAACAGGCTAATGGGGATATGCTGCATTGTAATGGATGGATTGACTAAACTGTGTTTGGAGAATCAGAATTGGTCGCACACTTTTGGATTTAGGTGTGAGAAATTCTGGCAAGTATTGATTTTGGTTAGAAAAGAAATGAGAAGATGTGCGTTAAAAAACTGTTGCAATATTTACTGCTGCAATAAATGACTGGGAAATAAACTTGCCTAAAAGTGACTAAGATGGTTTTATACGTCATAATGGGATAGGGGTTCAGAGGCCAGCAGCACATACCCAGCAAAAATTGACCCAAGTACCCCACCCCGTGGGTTATAGGCTTAACTTCTGCTGCATTTTTTGCCAAACAAGGGATTGATATCGATCCCGTTCTTGTCAGTTGTGTAAGAACTGATTGCTGTCCGTTATCTTATTACTTCTTTGCAACAAACTATTTGATAAGTGTATATACATAATAAAACATTTCCAGGTCACCATTAGTAGGTCATTGTTTGCGGTCAGTTGTACATAGCCCACGTGACAGTCGTCGAAAGGAATAGGGGAGAAGGGGAAAAATTAGTGGAGAATTACTTAATAGAGATTGCACGCAGCCATAATGTAGCATTTGAGCCTGATCGTACTGTTTTTTTGGAGGTAGGTAATGCCACATATAGACTGCCTTATGAAATAACCCCCAACCAATCAATCATCAATTATAATCAGAAAATCTCTTTATAAAAATGTCATATATTTGTAACTTTGCGCAAGTCAGAGTACATGTATATTTTTTTATACAAATGTGTTTAGTTTTTTATCAGTGGACCACTTTTATTTTATAGTTGGGCTTAGAATTTTCTCTGTGCTTTTGGGTGATTGGATTGAGGCCATTAAATGACACAAGTTTTTGATATGTTTATTTTCCAACAAGAAATTTTATTTTTTTCCTGCCATAATTGACAAATGTAATAGTGACAAACAGCGCAAAGATGGGTTGAAAATGTGGCAATGATGAAGAAAAGCAGAAAAAGAATGGTGAAATGCTGACGTGGACATGGCTTCCCCCTTAACCCTTTAAGTCCCAATAGTGACAAAGATCAATTTTCTCTTAACAATATCCATACACTGTCAAGAGATAAGTTATGAGAATTAATAAAATGATCACCCAGGAGAAAATGCTTGATCTATTATCAAATTCTCACAACTAATTCTGTAAGGAAATGTTTGGAGATCAGTTTGGAGAATTTCTATATGGATACCAGGCCCCAGTTGTTCAAACGTTGGATAGCGCTATCCAATGTTTGAACAACTGGGGTTAGGGCTTAAAGGGTTAAGACATGAGACAACAGGTTTTGACTTTCTGACCAGACATTCCCACACAACCTAATAGGGCTAAGGCTAATGAGCCTGTCCTTTTTTATAAGCTGAATGTTGCAGAAACCGAAACTTTTGACTCGGAGCTTGATAGCCATACAATGTATGCACCTTCTGGAGCAAAGAACAATGTCATGCACATGTAGACACAGCACAAAATATTCAGCAATGTCTTGTGATGAATGTCTTTAAGTAAGTGTCACCCCCAATTCTGTGTCAGATATAAAAAGTAACATGACCTCACTTATTGACCACATTACTATTTGATGAATAATCTGAAGGGGACTATCTTTTCTTCGTCTTCTTAAAATTGCAGTATTCTTTTTTTAAATTAAAGATGATGTAAAAATGACCAGCACATATTCATTCTCTTGGTAATTTCTTGCTTAGGAGGATGATTTACCAGAGTACGATGAACCTGGCCCCCCAAAGGGTAATGGTTTTGGTGGTAGTGGCAGTGGCGGTGGAGGTGGTGGTACCGGTCGCATTGGTTTTGAGGGGATTGCAGCAGGTTACGATGCACCCAGTATATCAAGCCCCCAATATGCTTCACTAACTTATCCACCATCACATGTAAGTTTTTCTTAAAGTGTATGGCCAGAATTGTTTGAATTTGCTGTTTATTATTCACCCAGAAATCATGGACTGGTTGCATAAAGGCAACTTAAGATTAAGTGGGAATTGTTTACAACCACTCTTTAGTTCTGAAGGATCTCTCTTTGTGTTTTCTATGCTGGTTAATCATCTTTTGCTCAATTCATTTGTGTTATAGTGCAAGCAAATCCTCCATAACTAAGGAAATGGTCGCAGAAAATTCCCTGAGTGTCTTTGAACTCACCACCAACAACAACTCTGCAAGCAAACCAGTCTGTTGGTAAAATCAACTAATTATTGATATTTATTGTTCACTTTACAGGGAAGTGCACCACCTTACCCAGTGGGTCCCCCAGGGAATGCACCACCCTCCTACCCTGAGAAGGTTTTGCCACCCTACCCAGGAGGCCCTGTCAATAACCACAGCCCTACAGCTCCACCAGCAGGTGAAAATATTTCCAATAATTTTATTGAAAACTTTAAACCTACCAGTTATTAACTTATGCTACCGTTGGTTGCATCTAAGCGTGTACATGTGACGAAAAAAAAAAATTCTAATTGGATGAAAACAAGACATGTTACTGCGCTTTTCACAAATATGCGAACTCTAAAGTTCAAAAGCCGCCTTCACAATTGCGTTTTTCACTGCCATCAATCATAATTACGATCACAAGTAACGAACCTTGAAACACACAAACACACAAAATGGATCGAAATCCACCAATCACAAATCACAAACCATGACCTTTTGAACCCGTTAAAGTAAAGTTTTGTTTCCTGAGAGGTCCGTTAAGATGACTGACGGCAGCGAAAAACGCTATTGTGAAGACGGCGTTTGAACTTCAGAATTCGCATGGTTGTGAAAAGCGCAGTAATTGCCGCCAAACTGTTGAAGTTTGGGGTGGCATTAGACGAATGTTCAATGTAAAGTAGGTAGCTGTTTGTTGACTTGATTTGCTTTTGTTCAACAAAATATTCATTGCAAGGCTTTTAGAAGAATTCATGGAGTTGTAAAACTTGAAAGAATAATTCTTAAAAGCAAGTGTGATGTATCTGAGTGAGAAATACCCTGGTATTACTGAAAATTGAGAAAAATAAAAGATGTGTGGATTACCCTGATCAAAAACATGTTATTAACTTAACCTTTGGCTTAACAGTTTGTTTTAATGGCTGTCAACTTCAAATGTTTGGCGACAAAACACGCCATATCTGGCACCCTATTAGAACATGTTTTTTGTCTTGTGTCCATTCTTAGATGCAACCAGCAGTATTTTGAATAGTTACCTATGATATGACCTTCGGTAAACTTAAGCGTTGTTTTACCTATGTTACTTTATTCAAGGATGGTTTTCGCCATCCTTTTCCCTTTGTAAGACATCAACATGACACTTGGTTTTTGCTCCTCTCTGGTTCATGTGATGTATTGGTGATTTTCTGGGTGTATGGGCAAGGTTTTAGCCAGAAGGGTGTCCAGCCATCCTATGGATGGCTATTTTTGGAAGAAATAACAAGGAAAATTCACTTAATCTCTTATAATTTTATGGGAAAACATGCCTTCTCGATGGCCAGTTTTCAATGTCTGGCTAAAGAATGTGTGTGGGAAATGCTACAGCTGAAAGTTCACCCTGCTTTGTTGTTATGCCATACTAAACAGAACAAAACAGATGTGTTATACATGTTCAACTCTACCCTGTTCTGTCTGTGTCATTGCATAGTTGCACTATTCTACATAGTATATTTAGCATCTTAATACTTTCTTTCTCATTTCCCATTTTATTCTAGGACCTCAAAAGCCCTCCGCGCCCACCGCACCCACTCCAGCGCCTCGCTCGTCAAAAGGACCTAGTTTTCCGGACCTTCCATCAGTACCAACAGACCTACCAAACATACCCGACAGCTTGCCAGCGGCAAATAGTGCTGGTGGGGAGGATGTAGACTTTGATGATCTCACCAGAAGATTTGAGGATCTCAAAAAGAAAAAGTAGCTCTAGGCAGATTTTTTTTACTGAAAAACACCGGTAAATGTAATGTTGTTGTTACTGTTGTTAATTGTAGCTTTAGCTTTTTCAGATAAACATTTTCCAAAGAGGCTTTTCTGCTGTCTGTTTTTCAGCTTTTCAGGTAGCTGTAGACCGCAGGGGTGGGGTGTAGCCATGGGCCCGGGGGGGTGGGGTACTTCTTGGTAACAGGCTAATGGGGATATGCTGCATTGTAATGGATGGATTGACTAAACTGTGTTTGGAGAATCAGAATTGGTCGCACACTTTTGGATTTAGGTGTGAGAAATTCTGGCAAGTATTGATTTTGGTTAGAAAAGAAATGAGAAGATGTGCGTTAAAAAACTGTTGCAATATTTACTGCTGCAATAAATGACTGGGAAATAAACTTGCCTAAAAGTGACTAAGATGGTTTTATACGTCATAATGGGATAGGGGTTCAGAGGCCAGCAGCACATACCCAGCAAAAATTGACCCAAGTACCCCACCCCGTGGGTTATAGGCTTAACTTCTGCTGCATTTTTTGCCAAACAAGGGATTGATATCGATCCCGTTCTTGTCAGTTGTGTAAGAACTGATTGCTGTCCGTTATCTTATTACTTCTTTGCAACAAACTATTTGATAAGTGTATATACATAATAAAACATTTCCAGGTCACCATTAGTAGGTCATTGTTTGCGGTCAGTTGTACATAGCCCACGTGACAGTCGTCGAAAGGAATAGGGGAGGAGGGGGAAAGGGAGGGAATCGAATTTGTTTACCCCCCCCCCCCCCACCCCACCTGCTTCCCCTTTCTTGCGCCTGTCACGCAGGTTACTAGTCACCTTCGTAACCGCTCGGGCCGGAGTCACGCAATGCTCGGGACGGAGAGCCTTGTGTGACTGCGGCCCGAGCGGCTGCAAAGGAAACTAGCAGGTTACTTGTATAATGCGTTGACACTTTTTTTAAGCCCCAAGGAAATTTTGGAACAAGGGACCACTACTGAAGATTTATATTTCTTGATAGGATTGCAAATTTTACTACAACTCTGATATAGTTTATGCATTAAGGTAAACATAGCGAGAAGCGCTTTATCGATTTGCGGGCAAGCTTTCGGGGGAGGTGTGGGGACTGAAAACGCTTTTGAATGGTCTGGAGTTTCTTTTCCTTTTTTTTCCTTCATCCCTCCAATATAAGGCCAAGTCTTTTCAAATTTCCTCTTATAATCGCCGTGCTTGTTTAAGTTCATAATTCTCCTCTTCCTAAAATATTGAAACATTTTTTTTCTTTTCACTGGAAGCGCAAAAAAATTTTAATAAAAATGGTTCTTTCAAATGGGTGTTTGTGTCACAGCTTTATAGAGTGGCAAAATCGCTATCTTTGTCCCATGTTGTTAAGCAACAACTCGAGCAACCACTTCGGCAACGACCGCGAAAAACGTTACTAAAATTGCTCGATAACGTTCTTTCATATCTTGCAAGCAGCGGTTTCTCCACGCCGGGTGTAACACTACGTCGCGTGTAGCCTGGAGATACCACTGCTCGCAGGGTATCTTTCAGACTTCATCGCGATTGTTCTAACTTGCTCAGGTTGTTTAATGTACGGGGAAACCTGTTTTAATCGGCTCCAGGGGGGTACTTTAGGAATTTTGGGTGCGGATATGCCGCTGGGACCCTGGAACCCTTAACCTATACCAGAGCTAGTTCAGTTGAATTTTGCTACCCTATACTGGAGTTAACACCCAAATCCCCCTATCCTAGAGTAGCTGTTTTCCAGAAACTACTGAGATCACCAGCACATTCTAGCAAAAACAAAACCTTATACCACAATTCCAAGTCTAGATAAAATCTTCAACCAACTGATCAGTTTCCTGAAAAATGATACCCTATTCTAGACCCAAACGCTCTGATTTATATACCCTGTCCTAGAGTAAACTGCTTGAAAACCATACCCTTCACAGCGGCACATACCTATATAGCCCATATATGTCAGTACCTCCCCCCTCCGGGTAATCAGGCCCTATTAAGCGGAGATCTTAAGCAAAATTCCACACGATTTTTCCTGTATTTATTTAAAACAAACCTGTATTAAACGGTCACCCCTTATCTGCAAACACAAGCAAGGGTTTTGTTAGCCTGATTCTCGTGGCCGCGAGCGACTTGGAGCGTCTGAGAACCAAGGTAGGGGGAAGAGGTCTGCTAAACACAGGTTTCACTGGAGTTGAAAGGCTAGAATTGTTAGAGACCACATCCAAGTTCAGAACGAGTCATGAAATTTCCTCCTCATATGTTCACTTCCTCCACAAAACGTGACAAAAAGAAAATTAACGTCTTTTTTGCGAACGAAAGGTCGGTAAAGACATGTATCACAAAGCGTGATGGAGGATGAACCAGATTACGGTTAGCGCTAGCCTCTCACGCAGGCGTTTTTAGGGGAGCTCGTTTTTCATCCAAGCTCCCTAAAAACGCCTGCGTGGGAGGCTAGGTTAGCGCAAACTGATCTTGATTCCTGAACTGATCACCACAGGGCAGTCCTAGTTCAGCGCTAAGCTGGGTTCCCTTCCGATCTCGTAATAAATAAGTTCTGTTCCAAAATTTGTGGACGTCTCTAGTTCTTCAAAGAAAGCTAACGAAGAGACAATTAGATTTACATACATGGGAATCTTGTTGCCCACCATAAAACTCAGTTTTTGCGCATATGACTTTATTATAGTCTGTTCTGGCGTTAATTTTATCTAATCTGAGCGTTGTTGTTCCCCAGTAATGACGAAAATTTTATTTTGAAATTTTATGAATGTTTTGACAAAGACACAGTTGACTTATAATGCTTTTTTTTAACAACAAAAAATTTCATGTTTTGGCTTTCGCGCGAATAACGGTACGGCGGAAAGTGTTGAGCGGAACGAACTATAAATAAAAAGAAAAACCCTCAGTAATTATACTTAAGAGCCCAAACACAAGATCGAATTCTAATTAAGGCGCAAGACAGTTTTGTTCATCTGGCTTTTGCAGATAACTGGACTATAGACGAAAAGACCAGATTGGGTCATTACGGTTTCCTAGGTTTCGCGCATATTTCAGCTTGCGTGAAATTGACCAGTGAGCACTCGGAATGGCTTTCTTGCATACGTTATTAGTATTGAAAAAAGAAGACTTTTTCGCTCATTGAACAGTCGCGAAGCAAAAAATAGCAACTTTGATTCAACTGAGTCTCATTTCAACACAATGAAGTACCAAGTCAGGTAAAAGAGCAATGTTCTCTATTTCCCATTGAGGGATTTCTACATTGTGAAGTGGACGGTATAATTTTTGCTGGTACCTGAAGAATTATACAATGAACCAATTAAAAGGGACAAGGTTTTTCAGGGTAAAAAATGTAGATTTTTTTTCTCGAAATGACCTGTCGTGTAATATTATTTGCCGACCCATTGGTTTGAAGAGTGCCACCTGTTTGTTGCTCTGTGATTGGTGTTGACAAGCCGATCAAGCGCACCACTCACGTGATCTCGACGGCCATGTTCGATCACTAGCAAGATATAAACATCGATTTTGGGGTTGAACAATTTGCGGGATTTCTACCACGGCAATATGAAATCTTTGTAAGTAAACGCGGTTTGATTTTAAAGCGGGTCACAGGGAACCTTCCGTCACCAAAAGCGATCGTATTCTTTATCAGTTACGGGATAGAAAATGACATTTTTAAAATTCATAGCCAGTCGAGCATGATGTCAGATGGCCGATCGCGAAAAATGAAGAGTGTCTATACGATGGCAAAACCACATTAGCCTCGGGCTGAAACAACCAGAATGGTGGGTAATTGAAGACAAAGACGAGGATTATGGACGCAAACGATGAAGGTTTCCCGCAACATGCCACAAAGTCGCTATCAAAAGATAGCGGGGTTTCCCCATCTAGCAAAACAGCGGGAAACTTCATCGATGGTGAAGCTTCGTCGAACAAGAATTTTTCATCAGACTCACCTTCCCTTAGCGGTATTTTACAGCGTTTATTAGGTTGTTTGAAGCCTGTATGGACGATATTAGGCAAGGCAACTAAAGAACAGAAGACCGATATCTGGATTATACCGTTTGACGAAATTAGTGGGTTGGAATGGTTAGGTTCGGGTGCCCAGGGGGCCGTTTTTCTTGGACAGTATGGCGGTCAACAAGTTGCCGTAAAAAAAGTTCGTCGCGAGGCTGACACTGATATCAAACATTTGAGAAACATAAATCATCCCAACATTGTGAAATTCAGGTAGGAATTTATATATTAAATATCATTATCAATTGGCTTGCTCTGAATTCTTGTGATAACTGTTCTAGTTTATCAATCTTTTTTTTGCAGTTTCTGAATCGAATATATCATCAGAATTGAAATGGACTTTTATTTTATTATACCGTCTTATGTTAGGAATAATAAATATCTTGTCCTGCAACAGAAAATCTATTTCTTGTTTTTTGTTGTCATGAAATATTAGTCCACTTATTTTTTTTTCTGTCACGCATTAGTCTATTGACTGCGGCTATATTTTTGTTTTAATTAAGCTTATTAATGATGTATATATCCTTGATTTCAATCCCCACTAATGGATAAAAATCACACACCTCTCCCCCTTCAGTTGTTAACAAGCAGGCTAACTCAAGTAAGGAGAACTCAAAGAAAATATTCCCAACACCACTGAAAAAAACAATTTCCACATATTTTCCCCAAAATATTTTTAACAATTGATGGGATTCCTGTGTAGAACTACCGGTATAAGCAAGAACAAACTGTCCAACCACCCCGATCTCGTCAAGATTCTCCTGATTTTGTTTTAGAATCCCGAATCCTGACCAATATGCGATTGGGATAGGAAAAATCCTGATTTTGACATCTGTTCGGGTATTTCAAATTTATTCTTATGATACTTACACAAAAACACCAAACAGAGTATACATTTTAGACAGAAATTGTCCTCTCAGAACACTAGAAATGACTTTTCAGAGCATCAAGATTTCAGAATTTTCTGGA